TTATCTATTATTCAATGATAATTACATATATTCTGTCAGCTATTCAAATATTTTTGAATATTTTTGTCATTCAATTTCAAGGTTTCAAGATTTTCAAAAATCTTTATAAATATGAAGTCAAAAGTATGATATAATATAAAGATAAGATTTTATAAATTAATAATAATAAAAATATATTAAGGTACCAGGATACAAATAACATGTATGATTGTTATAAGCCTACACGCGATATTACCACAAATTATGTTTATTTACGAAGTTTATACAATGAATCCGCGAACATCTTACCGCATATATCTGGCGTTTTTGGACACTGCCCTAAAAGTACCGATGCTATGGATCTATCTGTTCATGACGTGGGCGATAGTTCTGTCAGTTTGGTCTAAACTAAAAGAGTGGACAACTCGTCTGCAAACAAATAAAAAATGGCAAAACATACTGGAAATACGTAAACGTTATGTTGAAACCAGAAATTTAATGGAAGAATACGATAAGATATTCAAATGGGTTATTCAATTAATTTATAATATATTAAATGATTTTTAAAAATATGCAAATTATTAAAATTATATATTTTATTTAAAATGTTATTATACTATAGAATCAAATATTCAATACACTATCAGCGATGCTATTTGTAATGTTAGAAATTTATATACTATTTGTAAGCAATAATAATGAAGATCTAATGCAAATCCGATGGTTATTATTGGTTTCAATGTCACAATCATTGATTCAATTGATTGCAAACTGTATTGTCAACGGCTGGACATATGAGGAATCGGAGCGTTTGCTTAAAACTGTCGACACTATAGATCTGTCCGTTTCTAAGACCGACGACAAAGATTTCAAAGAGACTGTTCTGTTTGTGTCACTTAATAGGGACTCAAAGATTGGATTCACTGTCGGAGGTCTCATACCATTGAAACCGTCAACCCTTTTGTCGGTCTGTAAAAATATTTGTTGATTTTTTTTAACGAAGTTTACAATTTTGTTGTTATAAATACATTTAGTTGATTGGATTAATATATTTATTAATTAATTAATAATTAGATATTTGGTTTAATTTTATCATATGGTATTATATTATTTCAAATGAATGGCACTAATGGGACAAATAAAAAATACTAATTTAATTTAATCGATTTAATTTTTATTTTGTTATTCTAAAAATATTATAAATTGTATTTATTTAAATGATCGCAAAATCAATAAAACATAATACAAATTATTGTATATACAGTACAGTAATTTACAAACACATACTGTATATGATATTGATTTTTCTATTATCTAATAATTATAGATATTATGTTAATTATGATAAATCCTTTATGTCAAATAAAAAATTTGTATAAGATAACAATTTATAAAAATCAATAAAATACAATATATTATTTAGTTAATATTCAATATAAATCATTTAAATAATAAGATAGTTGTTTAGAATAAAACATTATATTTATTATATTGATATTATGCATAATATGATGTAATAATAAAATCTATATTGAAAATAATATTTAATAGAATAAATAATGAATTGATTTTTTTATAAAACATTGTATGATAATAGTACTACTAATAATAATCTAATATATTTTAATTTAATAATTATTAAGTATTTTTATATTATAAATATTTTATAAAGAAAAAAATAATTCTTAATTTGTCAGTTCAATAGTTAAAGTGCCCTCAAATTGTTATTTGAAAAAATATTCAAAATCTTTAAATCAATGTATAAAAATTATTTGTTGTTAGTTACCAAATGTTATATAAATGTTGTTTTTAATACAACAATATTTTCTAAAATTATATTCTTATACTGTACTTGATATTTATACAATATAAACATTATTTTTCTTAATAAATTATATATTTTGTAAACAAAAATATTTTTATAATATCATAATATAAAGTGCTTTTTGTAAATATTTAAAAGTAAAATATAAAATTAACTACTAATAAAAACATATTATGAAAAAACAATAAAACATTTTAAATTTATAAATAATAATTTTTGTTATACTATTATAGACTATAACTTATAGATAGATATGATAAATAAAATTCAATTATAGAGCTCTTGATTGCATTAATATGACTGAATAGGTTAGAATAAAACTGTAAATCTGTTAAATAAATAAAAAATTTTATTAATTTATTTTTATATTGTTTATTATAAATTTTGAAAAATATTATTAAATATCTGTTAATTTAATTATGTTATATACAAAGTTATCATTATAACACTTAATTGGCATCACTGTCATAGAATAAGGCGTGGTTCACATATTACTTTCGCACTTTTCAAGAAATCTAGACCCCCTCCCTCCCCTATGTTCGCAATTGTTCGCATGTAGTCATTTAAAAAAATTACGTTCGCTTATCCCTAATCGCTACCCCCCCCCCACCACCACAAGAAATAAGATATTATCTAAATGCGAACGTTCTTAAAGTCTCTACCCCCTCCCCCTCGTTCGCAAAAGTTCGCTTTGGCTAACCCCCCTCCCCTCAAGTGCGAACGTAATATGTGAACAACTCCTAATAACTGATTTGAGATTTTGATATTTTATAAAAAAACTAAATTAATTACTGATAATAATGTTGTTTTCCTTAATGGCATAAACCCTCCAATAGTGAAGCCATAATAGAGGTCACGACTCATACATTTAAATAACAGGATTTCATTGAACTCATTGACCGTAGGGTTAGACGTTTGTCGTTGAAAATCAATTGAGTCCAACACTGATAACAAACGATCGTTTTCATCGTAAACCAAACCATTTATAATACAATTGACGTTTAATTTGATCAAAGCGTCGATCATAAAGAAAACGGTAGACATCTTGAGGTCGACAATATCCCGGTTATTGATATCAATTGTTTGAATATAAATCGCAAACATTGCAAATATCATTGTCGACAATGTTGTAAATAATTGTATCTAAATCAGCAAAAATTTATATTAGTGTTATAAATTTAAAACAATTAATAAAATGCATAAAATAATAAAATATTTACCAAATTTAGTTGATTATCAACTTTTATAATAGTATTTCTAGTGTCCACATAAGCCAATCTAACAAAACGTATGGTACGACCACACATATCCCGTTGCAATTGTTGGCGCCACGAAAACAGTTGATTTTTAATATGTATAGACAGCAACATAAGCATCATTGGTTGTAACCATAATACTGTTCCCGTTAACGTATTGGCACAAATCACTAATAATACTTCTTTTATTGTTAGGTTCACTCCATATAGTGATGCAAATATCATAACAATACAACCCATGACTTGAGTCGTCCAAAATGCGTATATAAATACCAATTGTTTTGTCTCTAATTAATTTTAGAAAAATAGATAAAAATTAATAAATAAATTTTTATAAGATTTGTAAATAAACTGATAAAATAATATAACATTTACCTGTTATTTTAAAACTAATCAAACGCCTAATAAACTCTAGACCATGATATTGATAGTACACCACATTTAATGTAACAATAATTATGACCACAATATAAATAGTAAGACATGAGTAAAATAGGAAGAGTCGTCCCATATCTTTGAGTGCTTGAAATTTTTCGGTTGTCATCATTGTGTAGGTTTGATACGACACTATTGCTATATGGATACCGACACCAAAATAACCAAATAGATTCAGTGATCTATTATATCTAATACGGGTGCCATCAATACCGGCGCCACCAAATGTTACACCAAATAATCGATAGTACCAAATTAAAAAATAAGTTTGCCATGATAATTTGTCAATATTATTATTATTATTGTTATAATTATCAGAATTACAAATTTTAGGAAACTTAAAATTTGTAAAAATGTTATTTTTGTTTTGCATTTTTTGTTGTTAAAAATTTGCAAATAATAAAGTTATTATTTAAAGTATTGTAACATTTTATACTAAATTTAATATTTATACAATTTTGACAAATAATTACATAATTGTTATGTCTTTTGTATTATTATTTTATTTTTTATATTTTGTTTGTTCGATATTTTTACTAAATATTTTATACTCAAAATAAAAATGAGACATGTCAAACAAAGTTTTATAGCAAACAAATTTGCATAAATAAAATATTAGCAATTATATAAATTATATATGTTATACTAGTAGTTTTTGAAATACATATAAATTTTTATAAATGTTAAAAAATTGTAATAAATGTTTAATACATGTTGTAGAGTGTTAACAATTATTTTAATATATTAACAATTGCAAAATTAAATACAATTAACATAAGAATATCATAATTTTTACATTTAATACCACAAAACAATTTATTTAATCAAAATTGTATATTAAGTAAGTTTTTAGATCTAATTTTCTTATTTTCATATTTATGGCATTCATAATATTTAACACATTTATTGATGTTATCGTTTAGCTTAATATATGGTCGCTTACATTGACAGCCAGGTTGACAGTCTAGAGTGCACGGTCTCAGTGAGCGCTTGTAGTTTTGACAGGTTATGGGACAGGAAAGACCACATTTGTTATAACGAGCTCCACGTCCACAGTCAGTCCGCTGCCATAACTCTGACAAAACAATTAATAATAAATTATTTAATTTAAATATAAATTTAAATAAATTTACCCTGACCAATACACAGAGTTGTCAAATGCAAAATAAATATTGATAAGAAAATATTTAAAAAATTCATTTTTAACATTTTTATAATTGAAATACTAATATAATGTTTTAATATTTCAAGATTATTAAATTGACATACAGTAAAAAAATATATAAAAAATAAAATAGGAAGGATATGAAATAGTGATTGAATTATATTTTAGTTAATAATAAGTGCAGTAATGTTAAAACTTGATATATTAATATTAGTCTAATTACTATCTTTTTATTTATTATTAAATAAGTTATATTAATTTAGACAGATTTGTCAAAAGTCAAAAGCTAAACAAAAATTATAATCATTTATTGAAATATATTTTATTAAAAACAAGTATTTGTTCAAATCGATACATATGATTAGCAAATTAAAGTAACAAATTAAAATTACAGAAAAAATAAAAACACATTTATTATATATGAGTTTTAATTTTTCAAAATCATTGTCCAAACATTAATGTCGCGGACATTGTCGGGGACGCACACAACGATTGCTTCGGGAGTTTAGTTTGACATAACCGGCATTACAGGCACAACCGCGCACGCATTGTAGGGTACAGGCACGTGGTGGATTGCGATGGTTTTGGCACGTGCTCTCACATGCACTGCCGCAAGTCACAAATTTACCATTCTCACATCCTATAATAAATATCATTTTAAATATTAATATTATATTTATTTGAAAATATTTTAATAACTTTACTTTGAGCCAATACGGCATTGAATGTCAAAATTGTGACAACAATTAAAACAGTTATAAAGTATTTCATTGTAACTAAAAAGAAATAGTTTTGTGTTTTAATATTAATAATATTATTAAACAATTAGCATATCTTAATAAAATATTAATATTATACAGTTAGCTTTTATATACTTATGAATTTTTAAAAATCTTCAATCATAATTTGTTTCCTGTCATTTGTAAAAATATTAACATAATTATCAGGAAAATTAAATTTTACTTCAACTAAAATCGTATGTTTAGGAAATAAAATAAAAAATAAATATAATATTTATTAATATTTATTAATATAGTAAATAAAAACTTAGATAATTACAATATTTTCATATAATTTATTCAAATTTATTTAAATATTTGTTGAAATTTGTAAAATTAATTAAAAAAATGTTATTTTTTATTAATATTAAATTTTCAATTTTCCAAAAGCAAAGTCTATGTACCGGTTGGGGTCATATCATATCAATTTCTTGTAGTACACTGTTGCCTACGTACGCAACGGTTGCTCCGGGAGTTTAGTTTTACATAACCTGGATTACAGGTACAGCCGCGTACGCACTGTTCGGTACAGAATCGGGGCGGACGGCGATAGTTTTGACAAGTGGTCTCACACGCACTGCCACACGTCACATATCGACCATTAGGACATCCTATAATAAATCAGTAATTTTTTTATAAATGATTTAGTTATCATATTATTATCAAATATAAGTAATCTTGTATTATATTATACTTTGAGCCATAATTGCATTAAACGATATAATTGTTACGATAAGTATAACAATAGTTATGGATTTCATTTTTGTTAGAATATAAAAAACTTAATTAAGAAATATATATATATAACTAATAAAGCATTTAATTAAAATGAATTCATTGGAAATTTAAACCTAAATATATACTGATTAATCTAAAAAAATCTTCAATGTCATTTTTATATCTTATATCCTGACAAATATTTTTGTAAATTATAAAAATTATTTAGGAAAACAATTTTGTCAAAATTCAAATTTTATTTTCAGGATATATTGTGTTTGTAGATTATTTTATTTATTTAATATTATAAAAAATTAATATAAAAATAAATACATATTTGAGAACTTTTTTATAAATTTAAAAATTTAGCTATTATTCATTTACACTATAATAAAAAATATATTGTATAGACTTAACAATAGAAATTAATTTAATTATCAATATCCTATTTTTAAAATATTTTAAGCTAAATTTACACTTATTTATTTTTTTATTCAAAGCATAAATATTTTATACAATAAAATCAAATAAAAATTATTTTATTAAATTAACAATATAATTTATTTACAGTATATTGTTTACATATTATCGATTATAAAAACTTTATTTAATAACATTACTACTCATATGATTAATATATTTAATAAATATACAAACAATAATTAAATGTCAATATTTAGACTCATTATCCTCTCCTAAAGCATTGTGAAGGCGAAACACATTCACGACTGCGACTGTTTCGTCTGATTAGATCCCGGGCACAGATACAGCCGGGTATACATTGTCGGGTACAGACAGGGTTGGGATTTTCACACGATGGCTGACAGTGCGCCTGACATGCAGAGTATCGACCCGTACGACATCCTTAGAAATTTATTTTAGTAATTATAAGTTTATTAATTAAATTATTATAGATATTATAAATATTGTCAATTGTTTTTACTATTTGTTAATACAATAAAATAACTCACTTTGAGCGCTAATGTTGGCAATAACAACAACAACAGTGATTATAACTAATAAAGTCTTCATTATCATAAAAATTAATTATATTTAATAATTTTAAAATAAATAGTAAACAAAATTTTTTAAATAACAAGTATTTATATAAGAGAATAAAAAATAAGATTCCTGTAAAATACATCCTTTCAGTTAATATTTTGTTGTTTTGTATTTAGGAAATAAATTTGTCTCAAAAATATTTCAAAATATTTTATTAAAATTAATTATAAAAAAAAATTATTTAAATTTAGATTAGTAATTTATTGTTATAAGTATTATTAAAATAATTTTACAAACAAATTTGATGTAAAATTATGTAATAACTTATTAAATTAATCTAAAATTATTGTAAAACAATAAAACTTTGTTACAGAGGAAGATATTATTTTTATTTTGTTATTTTTAATAAAAAATTGATTTCGTAATAAATCATAATTATATAATAGAATCAGTTATTAAAACAGTATTTAAATTTAATTTATGGTATAATTTATATTTATGTTTATTGTAAAAATGTCATATAAATATATATGTACAAATTTTATCACGTACAATGTTGTAATTATTATTATACTAATGATTTATAAAATATGCTAAAATTGATAAATTAAAATAATAATAATAATTTAAAAAATCAACTGTTTATAAAAATATCTAAAATAAAATTTTATAAAAATGCATTTAAATAAATCAATATTATTTTATATATTATTTATTAATTGACATTTTGTGTTAATTTCAAAATCTGTTGCAATCATTGCAGTTATCAGAGATCGGGTTTATTTGTAATGTTTCGATAGTCAGAAATTTAACTTTTGTTTTATGTTTAAATTAAATTAATTTTGAATTACATAATTTAGCTATAGTTTAGAGACGTATTCTGTAATAGTAATGCATTTTGATATAAATGTTACGTATGATTTAGTTTTTATTATATTAATTATTGTTTTCACACAATATATCATACTATTAAAGATGTTGTTTAATATATCATATAATACAATATGTATAATATTGAAGATCCTATTTACTGTTTAATATCTATATATTTCTGCTTAAAATTTTATATAAATATACAAAAATTTCCTAATTAATTGTAAACTACAGTAATATATAGTTTAAATGCATGATATTTGATAAATTGTTTGTGTTAATGAATACATAAATAAAAATATACTGTAAAATGTTAATTAAATAAACAAAATAAACAATATTTAAAAAATAATTTCTAAATACAGGACTTTGATAAAGGATATGAAAATCATTTTTTATGATAAATAAAAAAATCTTTTAATTCAAAAAACAGTATAAAAGCAATCATCTATTAATAATTAATAAAAAATTGTTATAACTTATTAATATCAATAACAATATGTCATACAATAAAATTTATACAATAATTGTAGTGTTTGTTGTATTGGCTTTGATGTGGCAGTCGGTGACCATCAATGCCGATGAGGGGCTGATTCGGGCAAAACGTGGTTTTGGATGTCGGGGACCGTTTGGTAGCAATCGGTATGAATGTAACCGTCACTGTAAAAGCAATCGGGTCAGTAGTGATAAATATWTTTTGAAAATAAATTTTGTTTTATTAATCATTTATCTTTTTTTCAATGTTTCAAATTATTAGTTTCGTGGCGGTTATTGCGATAGCGCTGGCTTTAGATGCAAATGTTATGGTTAAAGGATTTTATTATCAAATGTTTTCCAACTAAATATGAATATAATATATTAATTATGTGTTGCGATATAATTTAGTTGACTTAATATTTATAAACATAATTATGATATATCTGAAATTTAAGTAATTAATTTTTAAATATTTTCTAAATTAACACGTTTTTAAATATATTTTTTAAATTAGACACTAAAAAATGTAAACATAATAAATAAAAATTTAAACTTAAACAAAATGTGTTTTGCAATTGTTCCTATTTTATATACTAAAGCATATATATTTTAAATTATGAGTACTATTATATTAATTTATTTACACAATATTTAAATTTACATTTTATATAAATAGTACGATTTTTTTAATTAATAATTTATATAAAAAATATTTTGATTTTGTCTTTATGTTTCATTTTTTCTGATTATGGTTACAATAAATTATTCAATGTTTTTATTAATTTTTACTATAATTTCATTGAGTTTTGATCAGTTTAATTGTAATGGAGGTTTAGTTGGTAAGAGTAACAAACTATATAGATATTATTATATTATAATTTGATATTAATGTATGAAAATAATATATATTTACATAATATTTAATATAATTTTATTATTAAAATTTATCTATTTTTAGATTTAAATATTGGTAACGAAAGAAACACAAAAATAGTTAAATGCGATTTTGTGGACGTCTTTCAATTCTTGACCGTTAACTTTGTTGAAGTAAAAAATGTAATCAACAAAAATACATGCGATTTGAAACCAGTTTTAAACAAAATTGATTACTTCGAGAAAGAATACAAGAATCTGGACAACAAATTAGACAAACTGTTAGACATTGTCAACAATATAGACAAAAAGGTTCATCAATGCTGTGGTAGTGGTAGTCATCATATATGTAAAGAAGCGAAAGAAATCATCGAAGCCTTTACCAAACAACTGAAGAAAGTCAATGATCGCGATATAAAAAAATTAGTTGAATTTATTACCCGTTATGTGACTGCACTGGCATGTAGTCAACGATTCCCACACCAAGAATATTGCGGTGCCTGGAAGTGGCTCTTTGAATACATATGCAAACAATCAGTCTTTTGCGGCGGATGTTCAGAAAAACAACGTCTCATCGATGCCATCAACCAAAAGGCCAAATGTCCAGAGTTTTCGTGTCGTTCATAACAAGTCTGATATTTCATTAACTATAAGATTAACAGTATTTTATCGGAAATCAGACCCAATATTCCGGTTTTATGGACTTCAGAAATAATATACTATTTTTTTATTTTCTAATTTAACAAATTTATTATCAAAAAATTATTTTTGTGAGTTTGTAAATATTTTATTATATTAAATACATAAATAAAATGATCTAAGCAGCAAAAAATCTTGACTTTTATTATAATTAATATTAAAATAAAATTAATTATAAACATTTGTGTATATTGGTATAGCATATTATAATAATAGCATCAATAACATGAATGAATTAAATTTAAACAATTAATTAGTTAATATTGCATATAATTATAATATAAATATATTACTGTACATTATCTGTACATATATAATAATGTATCTAAAAACATATAGTAATATTATAACTTTATTATTTCATGAAAAGTTATAAATAACTATTTAAAATATAAATAATATTTTATGTTAGGTTTATTTATTAATAAAGATAATTATTTATTGATTCAATATATTTATTAATAATTTTTTATTATATAAGTTTTTGTGTCTTTAATAAACAAAACATTTTATGTAAAAAAGTAAACGTGATATTTATTATTTTAATATACAGTACCACTAAACTCTAATGCATTACCACCCCACCCCCAATAATTATTTTATTGCACTTTTATCAGAAATTATATTATAATAACAATTTTTATTTGATAATAAGCTAATTTGAAAATAATGTATTATTGCTTAAAGAGAGTCAAACACTTCAAACACATATAAAAGAGGTGTTTTGTGTATACGTTTGGGTCTAGTGTTTGACACCTCCTTTTCATAGGACTGACATTTAGTTAGGTCGTCCTGATATCGACTGCATATGAGGTTCATTGAGTCGACACTAGCTTTTTTGGTGTGAACATCAATACCATTGATGGCATCATCACTGCAGACATTGGATCCCATGGCTTCAAATGCTTTTCGATTGCAATTAATCCAAGCATAATAAGAGCTAAAAATTAAAATACAATAAATTTTAAAATAAAAATCATTTAAATTCAATTTATATATGATTTCATACCAGCAAATGATAGGTATCCTAATTTTATTGTTTTTAACTTTTTTTGTATTAGCCATAGTTATTATCATTTTATCCCAACATTTAATAGTTGCCGGTTTAGCCTTATTGCCACACTTTGCCCATTCAATCCACTGATCCTTTTTCTTACCATTTTTAGCACAATAGTCTTTATTGACTTTATCAAAGTTATAGGAAGCCAAAGACATAAGTGTTTGTGAGGTACCCTTCAGACAGTTGTCGCCAAATTTTTTGGCAAAATCTGTACTCTCTTTAGCTTTTCTAACAATAAATGAGTATAATTTTAATAAAAACTGTAATATTAATTGATATAATGCTATAATAATATAAAAATGAAATATTATTATCAACAAAAATGTTGACTTACCTGCAGTATGTTTTTAACTCATTCTTAGACTCCGGTAGTCGGAGTTCCTCCAAACCGAACTGTCCGAACACATTACTCGAATGTCTATCAAAATCATTTTCATTACAATTCTGGTCATCTTTGGACTGCTTTTTAACACGTTGTCCAACAACTGACACAATCATACAAAACAATAGCAATAATATATTATATAATTTCATTATTTCAAATCTATATTAACTAAATTATTAATAATAATTATTAAGTTTTGAAATGTTGTTTAATCAACAAAAACTTTCTTTTATATAATACTCAAAATCTAGAAAACTTATACAGTATTTAAGTGCATACACTATATTAATAATAGAAAATGTGTCCTTGATAAGCTGAATGACCAATTGGAAAATATCTAGTTTATTATTTGTTGTTCATTAAGTTCATTTTAAAAACTATTTTTTTAAATTATAAAATAACCTGTTATTATAAATAAAGTTATGAATTATGTATTTTAAATATTCAAGCTTATATTTTATTGATTAATTTCCTAATTTTTTGATATACAGTAGTAAAGAATAAGACATAAAAGATAAACATAAAAAATATTTTTTTAATAAAATAGATATCTTTAAATAAAAGTAAAAACTGTAGTTATATTGTATATTGAAATATGTATAATAATATGAGGGTTGCAAAAGGTTTTCAATCTCAGGGGGGTAGAGGAGGGGTAAAATGATATAAAGCTGGAAAAATTTTGGGGAGAGTATAGGATGGGGTGAATAAATTTTACTGCATTTTAAAACTACAATTTTTACTAATCTTTAGAAAATTCCCTATAAATTCTCTTAAAAAAATATTCCCAGCTTAATTCCTATATATTCCTATATTTTCAAATAATAATTTTTACAAAAGTTTAGAAAATAATGAATAGTTTTGAATAAAACTATAAAAAAGCTAAAAACAAATTTATTAATTATGTTTTTAACTTTTATAATTATAATAGGCAATTAGGTTTAAAAAAATAAAATTATTAGTAAAATAAATAATAATAAACTAATAAAAAAAGTTAAAAAGAATTATTAATATATTTATAGATAAATAATTTGAGAATAAATCTTTATGTAGTATTTCATATTATACCTTAACTAAAAAATTTTATTATAAAGTTTGAAAAATACATATATCAAATTGTCTATTGAGTGTTATAAGCAAATATTATTACTAAACATTATAATGACATTTATGCTGAAAATATGAGATTTCAACTATTTTATAAAAATATATTTTGTTTTAGCAGATTATAAAAAGAAAATAAAACATTTGCTTTATTTTCGGGAAAAATTGAAGAAAATTTATTACGGATTTATCTTTCTTAGAAAATGCCTAAACACTATATATGTAATATTTATTTATTATAATAATTTTTATTATTTTAAAAGCATATTTTGCGTTAATTTATAAATAATCTATTATTTTATATGTTAAAATGTACAATTTTTTTTAATTATTTTGTTATATATAAGATTAATTTAAATAAATCTACAGTATATTATATTTTTCAGTATTTTACTAGGTTTAAATTATTTATATTATATAAGCTACATAAGCTATTTATATTAAAACTCACTTGGCAATTAATTTTTGTATATTTGTTGGGGGTCTCATTTTTTGCTTTGGTCAAGGAAGGGGGGGTAAACCTAAAAATCTTGATATCAGGGGGTAAGATGACTTTACCACCTTTTAGCAACAATAAATAATAAATATAATTTTAATTTATACACATAAATTATTTATAAAACCATTAAAATTAGGTGCAAAATTTAAATTCTTTATATTGAATAAATTATATGTAAAATTGTTGATATTATGATAACAATAAAAAAAATCATAAATACATTATCTTTTTATTGATTGGGAACAAAGCTTTTGAATATTTGCAATATTTTGGAATTTTGTCTAAATATATACTGATTAATGTTAAACAATTTTCAATGTCTTTTTTATATCTTATATATTGACAAATATTTTTGTATATTATAAAAATTATTTGGAAAAACGCTTTTGTCTTAAACCAAATTTTATTTAATAACATTATTACAGATATAATTATTATATTTAATAAATATACAAACAATAATTAAATGTCAATATTTAGACCTATTATCCTCTCCTAAAGCATTGTGAAGGCGAAACACATTCACGACTGCGACTGTTTCGTCTGATTAGATCCCGGGCACAGATACAGCCGGGTATACATTGTCGGGTACAGACAGGGTTGGGATTTTCACACGATGGCTGACAGTGCGCCTGACATGCAGAGTATCGACCCGTACGACATCCTTAGAAATTTATTTTAGTAATTATAAGTTTATTAATTAAATTATTATACATATTATAAATATTGTCAATTGTTTTTACAATTTGTTAATACAATAAAATAACTCACTTTGAGCGCTAATGTTGGCAATAACAACAACAACAGTGATTATAACTAACAAAGTCTTCATTATCATAAAAATTAATTATATTTAATAATTTTAAAATAAATAGTAAACAAATATTTTTAAATAACAAGTATTTATATAAGAGAATAAAAAATAAGATTCCTGTAAAATACATCCTTTCAGTTAATATTTTGTTGTTTTGTATTTAGGAAATAAATATTTCAGAATATTTTATTAAAATTAATTACAAAAAAAATTATTGTTAAAATTTAGATTAACTATTGTATAATTAAAGTACTGCTACAGATAAATTTAATGTAAAATTATGTAATAACTTATTAAATTAATCTAAAATTATTGTAAAACAATAAACCTTTGTTACAGAGGAAGCTTTTATTTTCTTTTTGTGATTTTTAATAAAAGAAAATAATTTGTAATAAATCATAATTATATAATCAGTGATTAAAACAATATTTTATTTTAATTTATAATATAATTTATATTTATTGTAAAAATATAATATTAATTTATATATATAAATTATATCACGTACAATGTTGTAATTAATATTAAGATAAAAATTTATTAATAAAATATAAATCTTTAAGTAAAAGACAAAGCTGTAATCATAAATTGAAATATGAATAGTAATATCAGGGTTGCGAAAGATTTTCCCTATAAATTCCCCACATATTCCTTTTAAAAATATTCCCAACTTAATTTCTTAATACTTTCTTAAAAAATAATATTAATTTTTACAAAAGTAGGGGTAAAACCTAAAAATCTCAATCTCATGATAGGGTACCCCCTACCCCTATCGTAACCTTGAATAATATATATATAATTATAACTTTAATTACATACAGATTGTTTATAAAACCATAAATTTAAGTGCATAATTTTTATTCTTTATATTGAATAAATTATATCTATTAATAAAATGGTTTATATTATGATACTATTTTGATAATAATAAAAAATCAGAAATACTTTTTTTTTGGTGCTTTTTGTTGATTGGTTGACAAAGCATTTGATAGTTTGCAATGACTTTGGAATTTTGCACCTATATTTGAATGCTCCAGGGTTAATTTGGATTTATTTATATAGGATAGTTTTATTAATAGGTACAAATATGGTAGTGACCTCAAAGTACTTAAAGCAAAATCAAATAAAAAAAACATTTTCAAAGTATATAAATAGTTTACATACCATTACATATATATTATACGGTAAATATTATGTACATTTAAATTATACATTTACTGTGAAAAAATTTTCTACATTCAAAAAAAGATAATTTGTTAAATACATAAAAATCAATATTATTTATTCAAATAAATTAAGAATTTATAGTATGAAACTTGTAATGTATTATATAATGTAATATTGATCAATAGGTTATAACTGTAATAATAAGAAAAATTTTCTAAAATGTTTATGTTTTGGTTAATAAAAATTAATTAAAGTTTTAATTTATTAATTTAGTTAGTTATAATAGTATATTATAAAATAATTATATTTAAATACCAGTTTAAGTTGTATTACTATAACTATACCTGTATAAATTGTTATAATATTTTTTTAGTTATTTCTTAATAATTGTCAATTATTTTACTTTTTTGTCAATATAAATGATTTCTATAAAATTTTTGTTTAAATACAAAATGTAGAAAATTTTAATTAATAATTATTTATTATTTATTAACAATAATATATTTTAAATCTGATTTTAAAAAACGTAAATTAATGTTGATTGATAAAAAATGTGATTTTTTACAAAATATCGAAAAACTAAAAAACTGAAATTAAAATATTAATATATTTTTCAAATAAATATAAATATTTGATTAAAATTACTTTATATAATAAATTATAATTCAGCATCATAGTTTATTTAAAATTTAATAAAAATTATTTTTTTTCTGATTTTAAAGGTAATGTTTACCTATTATCATTATAATAGTTATTAAAAGTCATTGTTATTAAAATTTGTATATTTTATTAATTTTTAAAATTATTTTTTAATTATGATTAGTATTTATTAATACAGTTTATTTTTTATTGGTTTTGGTAATCCTATTTTGTCTAATTCAACGCATATCAATACATTTGTAAATTGTCACAAAAATAGTACCTTATATGCCATCTATTGTATACAAATATAACATTAGCTAAAATATAATCTTTTTATTATTATAAGATTAAATATCATTTTTAGATTTTTCAGATTTTAATATCAATATATAAAAGTAATAATACTTATATACTGTATATAAGTTATACAAAGAAAGATTAAAAAGCATGATATTATTATAATTTATATATTAATTTATTAAATTTAATAAATAATACATTTTTGATATAAATAAAATAAACATAATTTATTATTTGAAATATTAATTATTTTTTATCAATTTAAATATTAATTATTAAAAAATATTGAATAAAAAATAATGAAAACATATTTGATATAATAATAAATAAAATTAAATATAAATGTTGTATTAGTAATGAAATAGGAGTCAAATGTTTTTACTTTACTTTCAAATTACTAGTGAATATATAATACTTTTAATAATCAATACTATTTAAGTGACATATTATCCATATTATTAAATATTAAAATTGTCAACAAATGTTAATTTATCATATGTTCACATTTGATATCTAAAACCAAATATTAACAATAAAAAAAAATTATATCATTATTAAACAAAATTCATTTATAAAGTATAACTTTATATACACATTATATCCTTCATCTCTATCACGCAATTGTTTGTTATTTAATATAATAATAATATTGTGTTAAAAAAATATATTGATCTCATTATACTGTATTATAGAAATAGTTAATAATATTATTATCAATATACAGTATAATACTGTATTTTGTGCATAAAATGATTAAATAATAAATAAATAATTTGTTATTTATTGAATTTCCTTTATATTACTATAGAAACATTTATAGTATTATTAAATATTGTATAATAATGTTAGTAACTAAAAAATTTTATAAACTTTTTTGAAAACTGTCAAAAAATATGTGTTCAAATTTTTTTTTGTAAAATAAAATTATTAAACAAAATAATTTAATAAAAACAGTAATAATCATTAATATATACATTGATTAACACAATAGACAACAACAGCTGTCCATTAAATGTGTTTAAATAATTGAATAAAATTTCAATTAAAAGCATTTGAATGTTAATATAAATATTATGTTTAGTATTAACAATACAATCAAATTAAAGTCATTATTGTTTTTTACAATATTATTATTATTGGTTTTATTGATTTATATCACTGAATATGTCTTATTGATGGTTAATATGTATGATCACAGGTATGAGATAAATGAGCGCACGTTTATCAATACGCACAGTGAGCTCGAGCTAACTAAACTCAAGCCAATCCTCACAACCCGGAGCTGTCAGTGTCGACATCCGGTCGCTATATTCATACACTCGGCGGCAGAAACTAGTGGTGAATATTATGACAAACGGCAGACATTGAGGCACACGTGGGTCGAAACGGCCAAACAAGAAGGCATTTGTGTATACTTTGTAATGGGATTGAATCGCGTGACACGTGTTAACCACCAATTGGTTACCGAAGCCAATCAACATAAAGATATTCTTCAGTTTGCATTCATTGACCACTACTTTAATGGCACTCTTAAGACCATAGCATTGATCCGATGGGCAAACAAATGGTGCCAAACGTCGCGATATATATTGAAAGCGGACGACGACTCTGTCATTAATGTTAAACTATTATTAAATAATTTGTTTCAATTTAAAAAAGGTATTCAAACTTATAAGCAATTAATTTATATTAATATTATTATTAATAATAATAAGTTATATTACTTGAATTAATTGCTATTTATGCTAATAACAGGTATTAGTGGCCACTTACTGGTCAAAGCCGGTGTCAATCGCGACCCAAAACATAGACATTATCTACCGGTTGAGTACATGAAAGAAGACTTTTATCCCAATTATACAACCGGTAGCTGTTATTTGATGTACGACTGCACCGTTACATTGGAACAACTGATTGACAGCTATACCGGTCCTATACTAGATCACGAAGACCTCTTCATTACTGGTATTATAGCGCACACCTATGATATCAACCGATACCACAATCAACTGATCCATTGGACCGATCAATGTTCAGATGTGTGTCTTTATTATGGATATCCTGTAGTGTTTGAGTGCTCCGACACCCAAATCAATGACTGGTGGATACATATTAAGACAAAATCAATGTATGATTGCTATACATTTGGATCAATCGTTAACATTATCGGTCTATTTGTTATTGTTATGATAATTGCTGTTATATTTTATTTTATTTTTTACATAAGATTGCATGTATTTCGACGCAACAAATATTGCATAAAATATTAGATAATATTTAGATAATAGATATAAATACAAGAAATACCAATCATTTGTCAATATTTTATTATTACGGTACTATAAATACTATAATAATTCATTTTGTTATTTTGTAAAAATAACTATTTCATTAAATGTAAATTTTTAAATATTTAATCAATACAAAGAAAACAAATATATAATATGTTAATATCTTTTTAGATGTTTAGTTTGTTTTTTACTAAATTTATTATTTAAGTAAATTTTCTAACAAATATTATGTTTGTTACTAATTAATATATTATTAATTTTGAGATAAATCTCGTGGATTTTGTTATTTTGAGATTTTAATTGTAATTTGTTTTATACGTTAAGTTATTATATTGACGATAATTTATTTGATAAAAATGTTAGCAAAAAATGTAATATTTTTTATATCACTGTTAATGATTATCACTGGCATTACTGTTACAAATCAAAGCTATAATTCAAACAATACTGATATTACAACTAATATTCCGATTAATAGTACAAATAATACAACTGTTGTTACAACCGATTCATTGATAACAACAACTCTCACCGATATTGCAAACAACACAACAATCAAATGCCAGAATTCACACGATTTGTATTTTTGGTTATCAATTGGTGGTAATGTTGTCTCATTTTTCTGTATCATTTGGATATTGTGTTGTTTCCTCTATTATAAATGTCTGTCCAATAGTAAAGATGGCATCAATACTGATACCCAAAGTTACAATACTCACGACAAAAGCAAAACAAAAAATAGTTATTATGGCAGTAAAAGTAGCGAAATCCGATCGGAGACCAACTCATTGGTAAAAGAGAGGGAAATGAAGGAAAATGGTCGCAAACTTAAGGTGAAAGTCGGCGGAACTGTTGATATTTGACGGCATAAACAGTGGATAATATAAATCAGTTGTTTAAGTTGTTGTCATTTATTAAATTACAATTAATTTATAACATTTATTATAATTACAATACATTTTTATGTAGTCATCATTTGATGTTTTGCTGTTTGTAATTTTACAATTTTTAATATATTGTTTTTAATTATAATTATATAAACTTGATTTAAAATTTAATTGGCAAACATTAAAACTTAAATATACTATTTTAACTTAATTACATTCCCTAATTTACGTATATCTTATTAATCTGCTTTAATTTATTAAATTTAAATTATAAAAATATATATAAGTTAACAATTAAAACGCATATCTCTTGGAAATTGACAACCAATCTGTTGAATGACCTGTTGTGCCGCATAAATGCCACTTTTGACACATACATCTATCTGTTTGTTTTGAACCAATTGAGTGAAAAATCCGCCTACGAAAGCATCGCCCGCTCCTATTGTATCTATTATTTTGCTTTCATCCAATACCGGTACCGGAAACTCAATGACATGAGTGCAGTCGGTTTTGGCCACTAAAACACAGCGATTTCCCTGTGTATAGATCACTGTGCGACCATCACTGCGATTTGATGGCATATTTGCAGTCAATTTAGCAATTTCTGACACATTTGTCGTCTAAAATTATTTTTTTAATAAAATTTAAATAAAGAATATATAATTAATAATATGTTAAATATGATTAGTATATATGATAAATAGGTTGACAAACCTGCCATCCATTGAGATGAGCAAATGCTTGTGCTTCAGCTTCATTACCAAAGAGAATATCGACATAAGGAAAGACATCTAATAATGATTTGGGAACCATTTGGCTTACATATGGTGCAGACAGGTTTAGACAAAATAACTTTCCCGTGTGATTGTTAGCGTGTTTGGCCAAATGCGTAACCGATTCCGGATCAATAGCTAAATGATAACCTGAAGTATAAAAAACTTTAGCCATTTCTATATATTGATAATTGTTTAATAAGTGATCAATTCGTATGTTTTGAGAGGCACCCAGATATGCAATCAATGATCGACATTTGCCCGCATCACTAATCAAACAAGCACTGGTCCCGGTTCCAGTAGTTTTGTCCAACAAGCTTATAAAATTAACCCCCTGTTCACTAATTTTTGCAGATAATACACGTCCAAAATGGTCGTCACCGATAGCACCCATAAATGTCATGCATTTAGGCTTATTTAGCATCCATTGAACCGTTCGTAGGCTATTTTGTACTGATCCTCCCGCTATGTATTGACACCGGTATTTTGAAGTCAACTCTTCATATAACTGTCGGTGCAATTCATTGGCTCGGATACTATCGTCGGGTTTTAGTTGATATTTTTCAAGAAACTTGTTGTCAACATCAGCTATGATGTCGAGCAATGGGTGACCCAAACCTAATAAAACCCCTTCACTAAAGTATTTTTGTAAAAATATTTATACAATAATAAAAAATAATGTTTTTAATTACTTACTACAAATTATTTTGCATTTTTATACTTATAATAATAAAATATGAATTTATTTTTAATTGCCAACATTAAGATTGGATTAAATAATTAAATATTTTTATATAGCAATAAAATAATATTTTTCATAATTATAATTATTATACTGTAAAAGTTAATTTGTTGTTTAGCAGCAATTTATTTGATAATACAAAGTAATGTATCAAATAATTTTTTTCAAATTTATCTTAAATTTATATAACATATAAGATAAGTCAAAATGATAATTGTTTATTTTAGATAAAAACATAGTATATGAATATTTCAAATTTAAGTCAATAAATCTATTTAAAATAACTTTCACTGAAATTAGATATGTTTCAAAGTTATTAATTTTTCATTATAACCTTTTATTACAAAGAGTCAAACACATCCATAAGCGCGGAAAACATAGTCTTAAACTAGTTTTAGGAACTTTTTTCGATATTATCCCTGATTTTATTGCATTTATAGTTGTCGTCATAATCAGGATTCATGAACATAAACAGATTCAACGGATCTAATGAACTGCGACTTATCGGTGCATTGAAGCCATCGTTATCATTGGTCAAACATACCGGTGCTCCCACTTTGTTCAATTCAAATACAGTACAGTCATTCAAAAAATGAACTAATTTTTTTATAAAAAAAATATTTATTAATTGTAAATATTAATTAATAATACAAACCAACAAACAGTTAGTATCTTAGTTGACCATACATTCATTTGCTTGATATTACTCATAACATTAGTTAAATTAGTCCAGCATTTGATTGTTTCCGGTTTGACTTTATTATCCTCCTTTTCTGGACATTTGTGGTCACTATATCCAAACTGTCCGATCATTGACCGCAAAGTCTCTAATTGACTTTAGTATAACAAATAAACCAAAAATATATGACTGAAACTAATCTATATTAGTATAAATAGTATTTATTAAATACAGTATTAATATTTTAAAGTATTAGCTACTTTAAATTAAATTTATATAATTTGTAAAAAATTATAAAGTTTAATTAACTTTTTATAAATCTGTATAATTAAAAGGCTCAGTCAATGTAAAACTAAACTTTGATTCATTTATTTAATATTGTTTATATAATAGAAATATTTTTTGTATACTATTTAAAATATAATATATTTGTCTACATTTATAGAAAATGTTTATAACTTTATTAATGACATGACTTTTTTATTGTCTAAAAAATTGACAAACTCTTGTTTTTGTTAAGATTTTTGCAGTTTTAAAAACCAGTAGAAAATATAACAAATTGTGAATTGACATTAAGATAAATTTATCTAATCTATATAAAGCATTTCATAATTATTCAATTTATGGTTTTTCCTAAAAAATGTAGTTATGTTTTGATTGTAATTAGGGGTCAATTTATATTAAAATCAAAACTTGTTATTACTTTTCATTTTTCATTAATAGCTTAATAACTCCAAACGCTTACATAAAAGAATATGAATTGCATTTCATTTATTAATATTTTATCGCAAATCTATTAATATTACAAAATATGTAATTTTCAGTAATTAATTATTTATAATAAATTATTAAATCAGTTTATTATTTTAAAAATTTCAAATTAAATTTTAATTATTATGTTTAATAACAAGTTTGTATTATTTGCAAACTTTATTATTTCAGCACTTTATGTAAACATTTAATAATTCATTTGTGAAATTTTTATGTGAGAGTAAAAATTTAAATTAATTCAAGGATAATACTATAAGAAATATAGTATTATAATATAACTTATAAGTATAAAGTAACAATAATTATTTATATAGGTATATAAAACTATAATAATGTATTATTAGCAATAATAAGCTGATTAATGTATAATTGGTTGAATGCAAAAAACTATTTATTACTATAATTTCTAACTTATGTTTAAATATAATTGTTGAATTATGATTAATCTAAAAATAGTCTAGACTTTAAATTTGAAGTATTCAATTTAATTTATTAAAAAATAATTAATTTATACAATAATTTATCAGTAATATTATATTAAATAAACCAATTTGTATGCTAATTATGCTAATAGTTTGGTTCAAATTAAAGTTTATTGAGTTTTTATACTGTTTTAGCTCATTCTATAACACATTAAAACATAAATAATAATAGTCTATCAAAAAAACTGATTTTCAATTCTATGAATTTTATATAATTTGATAATAAATTATTACAATAATTCATAGAAATTGTTTAAAATTACTTATTAAACGATGTCATTTCATGTCATGTATAGTATATTATTATAATACTGTACATATTAATATTATAATTGATAAGAATTTTAATATATAATATATTTTAGTAAATATAAATTTGTTTATCAATTATTAAAACATGCATTAAGTATATGACATTTATATACAATATTTACACCTATTATTACAAAGGTACAAAAAAGATATGAAGGTATAAAGGTTTAGGTGATAAATGTAGAGATGGGCAAATAGAAAGTTTCTAATAAATTTCACTGAGAAAGTTTCTAGAAAGTTTCTCAGGAATAAATTTCTATAGAAATTTAACTTTTTTGTTATACTATGGGATCCCCATATCTATAGATATTATAATTCTATAAATATATTAATGAGACATAATACTGTATATATAATATTATACTATATAATGTAGATTACTGTATAATACTATATTATACAAATGGGATATCTCTATAAATAATTATAATTATTTAATAATAATCAGTTTTGTAAAATTTTATTCACCATTTTATTATATCATAGTTTAATATAATTAAATAAATAAATTTTTTACTTTAATTAATAATTAAAATACTAATACTAATATTTAAATATTACTTATAAAAACAATGTTAAAGATAACAAATATCGACAAAACAAAATTAACCATGGGGTAATTAACAATAAATAGAAATTTCTTTTAGAAACTTTCTAGAAATTTCTCTATTATTTTATAAATTTCTCTTTTTTGCCAACACTAGATAAATGTCTAAATTATTTGATTATCACATAATAATAGTGATAGTTGTCTAACCAAAACTATTTGTCATTAAAAATAGTTAAAATTATTTCACAATATATATATATTGCACAACACACTTAGATTTTCATAAGTTATTATTATATATTATTAGTAATAATATCTATTTTTCTAATATGAATATATTTGTATTAATATTTGGTTTGTACAATAATCTACAAATAATTTACAATTAATAAATTTTAAGTAAGTATTAAATTATGGCTAATAATAATATGATTGGTATTAGAAGTGATGAAAATCAATTGGATTTATTTGAAATATTACAAAAACAAGATATATCATCCGTTACAACAATGTATAAAATTAAATCAAATGATGATGGGCATTTAGCTATTATTAAAAAGATGGCACTTACAGGTTTTAATTAATATCAGTTATTTATTTATTATATTCATTAAGTTTCTAATCTAATAATTAAAATTATATTTGTTTTTTAAGTATAATACTTTTGACAGATATTTAGATTTTTAAAAAATATTATATATTTTTAGATCAAACAAATCTAAATGAGGCACAAATTATATGGCGATTACAGGATTCAAAGTATGTGATCAACTGTGAAGATATGTTTTACATTTGTGAGGACACACTTTGCCTACAGTTTACATACTATGAACAGACTCTTGAAGATATTATTATTTTATTCAATGATGTCTTTAAGATGACTAAATCATACATTATATCACCACTTAATTACATGATATCATATGAAATATTGTATGACCTTGTTTATGCTATTAATAATATAAATAAGTCTAGTATAATACTCCGGTGCATTACACCAGAGAGTATCTATTTATGTTTAAATAATAGTCGTAATTGTTTTAAAATTGGCAACTTAAGTATGGCAATTAAAATTGATCCAGGTCAACCTAACCCAAAATTTTCAATAAATGAAAATAATTTGACTTTAAATCAAATCAAATATATGGCACCAGAACTGTATCACCAATTAAATTATGACCAACGGGTCGATTGTTACAGTTTGGCCACAATTGCCGAATATTTAATTAATTTGGATGTCTGTTCAAGTGCTAGGTTTGTACAACTAATAAATAATATTTTATTAATACTATTATTTTTAATATACAGGTAAATTTATATTGTAGTATAATGTTATCTTATTTAATAAAAATTTATTACATATATTGTTATGCATTTACATGCTTTTATAAAAACAAATTATTAATTTGTTAAATTATATTAAAATAATGTAAGTTTGACTTACTTTGACAACATTTATAGTAAAGATTATCTGATGTTTATTTGTGGTCACTATTGTTTCGGTAGTCACTTAAGTAAATAATTGTTACTATTAAGTGTTGTCAAAGTAAGTTAAACTTACAATCTTTTAATATAATTAGTGACTTACATGAACTTTGAAAATCTTAATAAATTAATAAATAATATTATGTTTTAAATAAAGAAAACGTTTGGTATTTGAAGACAATACTATTCCAGACGTTATATTAAAATCAATGTATAAATTACTACTTAAAATGCAAACATTTCCCGATTGTTCGTCACGTCTATCACTGGATGAAGTAATTCAATCTAAACATCAATTGTCGATAAAATCATACCTTAATATAAACACTAATACTATTTGCGATTTTGTTGCCAAAAATCATAAAGTTATTGACAACACATTTATAAAGTTTTATTTAACTAACAGATTTGGGTTTAAATTATAAAAATTGTTAATATTATTAACTAAAATAACTAATTATTTCTTAAAAATAGTTTATTATACTAATATACGGTACATTAATATACAAATAAAAATTTACAAAAATAAATAATGTACATTAATTATTAATTAATTTTATTATTTTAATATATTTTATGTTTAATTGGTATTAAAATATTTTTATTTTTAAATAATTTTAATTTAAATATTATGAGTCATTATTAATGACTAATACTGTATTTGAACAAGCTAATTAATAAAAGCTTGCTCTAAAAAATAGTCATTACAATCAATCAATTGATAAATTAGAAATTGCTTATAAACATATATTTAATCTTATTTAACAATACATATCGATATATTAATATTTTGTAATTTTACAATAAAAAAGTATCTGTAAGTTTATAAATTGCATACAATAAGACAATAATAATAGTAAATAATTTATTCATTTTTAATATACACTATAAGTTTAATTATATGATTTTTATTTATATATATAAATTTAATTAATAAATCATTATCAAATACACAAAAAAAACATCAAACGGTTAATCTTGTAAATCACTAATAATACTTAATGTAACATAATATAAGATTACTAATATTGTATGTAAAATATATATATATATTACATTATTAAATTTGCTTTAAGGATGTTTATAATTAATAAATATTGTAAACTAATACACGGATCTTCATTTACAGTATTTAATAACGTATATAATTAATTTGCTATCAATAATATAGCAATAATTAAATAATAATTTGTTATAAATAGCAACAAATGTTATTTGTTTGTAAAACAAAAGAATAACAACAATTTATTTATAAATAATAATTAGTTTTAAAATTTAAAAAATTAATATTACAATAGTATAGTATACTAATTAATGTGAAATATCTTAAAACTAAATTCTGTAAATTGCATATTAAATAATAACTTTGCTATAAATTAAAATATAATTTCTTAAACTTATTTTAACCAAATTTTAAAAAATCTTATGTCTTAAACAATGATGTAAACATTAATGTTATTATAAATTATTTCAGTATTTTATTGCAAAATTTGTTATACATTTATCTAAAAGTAAAGGACAAACATATTACTGTATAACATTTGATAGGTTTATGTTGTTTTATGAGATAAACTTTTATAAAAATTATATCCAAAAATAGTAAATAAACAAATTTTTTGTTGGTTTAAATAATAAATATAGACTAAAAATACATATTGTTAAACAAATATGATATAATAAATAATTAATATATTATCTAATAGGTACTTTTTATAATTACCTATTATTGTTATCATAATATAAAAATTTACATTATTTATTTATATTTTTATACAGTATAATGTAATTATAATATGTGTAAAGACAACTTAAATTACTAAATAAAAAATTTAAAATATAAGACATAATAATTTTCTTTCATAAACATGAAATACGGTAAAAATCAGTAATATGTTATCATAAGAATAATAACAATAATAATAATAATAGAAAAATAAGACATCATTTCTTCAAAAATATGTAATATTATTTAAAATTAGTACAGTATTACAGTGTTTATAGTATTCTTCAACATTGAAGTATACAGTAGTTTCTATGTTACCGATTACCTATAGAAAAAAAAGATAATATTAATAACTCAGTCATACTGTATACTACTACTAATGTATAAATATTGCCGGTATTATCACAAACATTTGCATTACATTATTAGAAATTTTACAAATATTTTTGAATTCAAATGATTATATTTAATTTATATATTCAAACAAATGGACAATAACTATGAGGAACACCATGTGAATGGACAGCAGACCCATACCAACAATGCCCAGTGTTGGTGTCATACCATTACCAGTTGGTATCAAGTTATCAATAATTATGAAATTAGTACGACTAGAAGTATGCTAAATGTTAAAGATATAAACACAAATGAATTATTTACTATTAAAAAAATTAGATTATTAGGTAAGTTATATAAAGTATTTATTTTGTTAGAATTAATCTGTTTACTAAAAAAATAAAATAAACTAATTTTTCTCAATAAGACTATCAAATTTTTTTGTTTTTTAATTTTATATTAATTTTGTATACAGTATAAATATCTGTAAAATATTGATATATATTAATATACTGTATATATGTATATATATATATATAGATAACGGCACCCGTATTTCGGCATTACGTGATATAATGATATTACGCGATCAACTCAATCAATACAATCATCCAAATATAGCTGAATTTATCTCATATCACGAGGAGTGTAATCCCGACCGTCTATACCTACACATGCCATCATCGGTCTATACGTTGCGTCAATTCATACATTTAAAAGATCAGGTATTCAATCGACAGACTAGAGATAACATATGTTCTGTCGATTACTTCTTATCGTTCAAATTATATGAAGAACTACTACAAGGACTGAGTTTTTTGCACAACAAAAACCTTATTATAAGAAATATAAGACCAGAAAATATATTGGTTGGTATCAACAATGGCGACCGTTTTTTGAAGATTACCAGTTTTGGACAGTCGGTTATGACTGCCGAAGCTTTGAGACCAATTGATGATTGGTCCGATATTGATGTCATTTATGTAGCACCGGAGGTATTGACCGGACGTCAGTTTGACCAGAGGGCAGATATTTATAGTTTGGCAACTATTAGTCAAATAGATTTCTTTAATATTGATTTTTATGAGTAATATTTAGTATTTATATATAAAGTTTTACATTATAATATTATATAACATATTTTATTCAATTGAATAGACAACAAATATCGTTTACCAGTCCACTAATTGATCGCAATATAATCGATGAACTGTTCAATAGTTTGATGCTTTGTCTAACATTTCCCGATTGGGATTTGCGGCCATCGGCTGATCAAATGATTGCATATCTCAATGAATTTGAATTAAACAATCAACAGGTTATCGATGATATCTTTACACAAAATTTATTAAATAATGAAAATCAACTTGATGATAATTTAAAATTAATTTACTTTATTATTTGCAGAAAATTACATTTATAACATATAATTTATATTTATATTTCTATTTATTTGAATTAATAATATATGTTATATTATTTTAATTGATTCAGTCTTTTGTTTAATACTAAAATTTTAGTTTTTACTTTAATAATGTTCTCTATTAGTAAACACTTTAAACAAATAACAATTTTGAAAAATAACTGTATAATTTGTAATAATAATTTTGTAAATATGTACCGGTATAATATAACTATAATCTAATTAAATATAAATATGCATAATATCCTATTACATATTCTGATAATACACATGTATATATAATTAAAAATATAAATATATATAATTAACAATAATTTTATTCTAGTTTAAAATAATTAACAATATTTAAATTTAACACAAAATACTAATACTAATAATAATAATATGATAATATTAACAAAATTAACATTTAGCAACAAAAAAAAAAGTTTAAACATTTGAATAAATTATTAATCTATACAAAGTCGCGATTTAAGTAATTTATAAAATAATTGATTTTTAAAGCTTTTAGTCGCAGAAACATATTTATAAAAGTCACTGTCATTTATAATAACATTGTGATCGATGGCAATCATATCTAATGTATTGATAATATCTTTACAATTGGGTCTTTTCCACCACTTGGGACTGGTTTGCATTGACCGCAACAATTGAATCATTGATTTATAGCTCTCACTAATTGATGAGTTAGTATCCATAATATTTGAATCACTATTTTAAATACAATAACATGAATATAATAATATAATAATATTAGTAAATAAGTTTAAAATATATTTTACTTACTTTATATATGTAACTTCAAATAGTTCATCGCCAATAATAGCCATACTATAGATATCAGCATTAATACCGTATTTTCTTCCCTTTAGTACCTCAAGAGCGGTATATCTGTATTGACTTTTAAAGTCATCGCTATTATTAATTTTAATGCCAAATGTGTCCAACTTTTCAAATCCAAATTCCGATACTTTAATAAATTTATTATCACTACTATTATTATCGGTAAAAATATTGGTTGTCTTTAGGTTTCGGTGAATCACTGGAGGCTTATGTGAATGCAAGTAATCCATGGCTACGACTATCTCACGAAACAACTCAAACGTTATGAAGTACTCCAACGGACACATAGTTTGGCCGAATCGACGCCCGAATACCAGTGCTTTCATTATTGTAATGTCAAGTAATGTGTTGTCATAAAAATGTTGTCTTATATATAGAAATTTGTCTTTTTCTATTGAATATTTAACTATCGGTGCCAGATTATCATGTTTGACCATGGACATTTTATTTAACTCCTCATCCAAATTGGCTAATTTCTGTTGATTTAAACCTATAATATATTAAAATTAATTAATATTTTCGATTCTATATTAAAAGTTATTTAAGCTACCTGGGCACTTGAACTTTTTTAGCACAAATAATTTATTTGTTTCTCTATCCTGACACTTAAATGTTGGTCCATATGTACCGGTGCCCAAAAGCATAAGTCGCTCATAGTTTTTCATGTGTATGGCTTTGTAGGTAATACCATAATTGTCGGCCAGGTAATTTCTATAGGAATTTGGACCAACCATTTCAAGAGGCACTTCCATTGGCTTTATCTCATGGACGCCCTCATCAAATCGGGCCACAATCATGTTGTCATTTGTCGGTTCAATTTCAGTATACTGAGCATTACTGGGCAATTGGATGGTAGTATGGGATGTACTCAAATTGAAATTGCATACAATTTGTCCGTAGACATTGATTTCACCAAAATTAGTTAATACAAAACTGTTGCGACCATTGCATATGATTGTCTTTACATTACTCATCAATATACTATTGTATCCCTTCTCATATTCGCACCCGTAGTGACCCAACTGTCCAAAATCATTTTTTCCCCAACTGTATACTGATGTCCTAATTGTCAGTATCATTGAATGATAGTCACCGCACGACACAGATTTGATACGTATGTAAATAGCTATCCTATGAGGTATGGATACAATACGTTGACTGAACTGATCCCCCAGACCTATCTGTCCCCATTCATTTGAACCCCAGGCGTATACTTCGCCATTATCAGTGAGGGCTAGTGTATGATCGGCTCCACAACTTATTTGCACAATATTTAGTTGACTGAAAAATGTATTTTTGACTGGACTCAATTGGTCAGTCTCATGTCCCAATCCCAATTGACCCAGATGATTTTTGCCCCATACAAATATTTCATGTTGATCGTTTTTGGCTAACATAAATCCCTGTCCTCTATAAAACTTGTTGATATTGTGTCTTGATAACTCTTTAATAATTTTGGGCTCACCAATAGCACCCGTGTCACCCACACCAAGTATGCCGTTATAGTTAGCACCTAACCCATAGGCAATGTCGTTATTGTCAATATATAAACAATTTTTACCACTATTGTTGTCTTCAAATATATAAAAGTCTTTAATGTTTTGTTTTAAATGTTGTGGAAATAGTGATAAATAATCTAAAATAAAATAAAATAAAAACAAATGATTAAAGTAAGATTGTGTTTGTTGTAATATATAGATAAAATATACAAAAATAAATATAAAAAATGTGTATCATAAATTATTATATTGTAATTTTAAAAATATTTAAATAAAAAGTGTTTATCAAAATTTAACACTCATTAGAATATATTATATAGAATTTCATATAATTAATAACTAAAAGGAAATTTATTGTTAATATTATTCTACTATTATTACTGTATTATCTATTAATAATTAAATTTTAATAATAAATAAATTAGTAATGGACATACCTAATTGTGTTATATCAAATGGTCCACATCTATTTTGCTCATTATTATTATTGTTATTATTATTTGTAGTATTTGTTAGACTAATTGTTCTGTTAGTTATCTGAAATTTTTGTGCAAAATATTGATCAAAATTGATAAAATTAGTCTCAAAAAATGTGAACTCATTTTTCATTATCTGATAAACGCAACCGTTTGGCGTTTTAGCGAAACACCAATTATATGGATTTAAAGAGAATATATCAATAAATTTCTCATCGGTTTCAATAACTGTCAGTTTGTTAATATTATTAACATTTCCATTCAAATATTTTTGCCCACAATAATAAATATTGCCATCATTGACTAAATAATATGTACTATTTTTGCAACAAACAATTTTATGGACATAAATATCATCAGATAGTTTAACGTGTTTAGGTTTATTGCAATTATCATAATCGCCAGTTCCCAGTTGACCGCAGTTGTTATCACCCCAAACATATATATGCTGATCGACTGTCATTGCAATTGAATGGTTGTCTCCACATGCTATTGATTTGACGGGACTGTAAAATATAAAAGTATAAAACAATTATGAATGTCTATAGATTTTATCATTTTGAATATTATCATTTACTTGATAAAATCAATGTCAAGTTTGATTGGTGCATCTATAATTGTTTTATTATTAGGTCCAGTACCACACTGGCCCATATTGTTAGCACCCCATGCATACACATCTCCCTGTGCTGTTAAAGCCATAACATGTCTGCGACCGCAAATCATTGTTACAATATCTTTGCCACTCATATACTCAATACGAGTTGGCCTGAAATAGTTATCTGTATAGCTCTTATAACCTAAGCCTAACTGTCCACTGTCGTTGATACCCCAACCATAGTATTCGTGTTCAATGGTTCGGCCAAACATAAAATCAGAACCTCTAAAAAATTCATTTATCTTTACTCCGCTGATCTCCTTTACATGTGTGGGATATTCAACTTCCTGTCGATGTCCGAGACCCAGACAGGCATAATAGTTGGTACCAAATGCATAGCACTGATCATCTTTAGTGATAAACATGTAGTTTTTGCCCATATAATCGTCAAACACGTAAAATAGTTGTAACACATAATTACGTGATTTAACAAATTGTTTGATTCTTGAAAACTTGTCCAAAACATTAGTCATTTTTGAAAATTGGATCTAGTTACAATTCAATATTAAAATAAATAACCAAGTTAACTTTATGGATAGAGACACCATAATATCTCAGATTATACTTATTAAGTATTTATATACCTGTTTAAAGTTCAATCTTCAATGAACGGTATATTCACCAAATAAGGAGTGAGGGTTGGCCTATATATTCAATAATATAAATTCAATATATTATTTGCAACTTAAACAATAACTTAATATTTTAATTAATATATTTAACTAGAATTATAAGCTAAATATACTAAACAACATTAATTTCAACGCAATGCTAGTTTATTTACATAAAATACATATTTATTATAGTATTTTTATAATTAAATACATAATTTTTAGGTACTTTAAGAGCAATTTAAGGACTATTTAATCCTATATGTATTTATCAGGGTTAAGCAAGGTTTTGGATCTTAGGGGATATAGGGTGGGGTAAAATGGAAAATTATCATAAAATCTTGGGGGTATAGGTGAGGTGTACCTTTGTATTTCATTTTTAGACGGCAATTTTTTTCAAAATTTAAAAAATGAAAATTCTGCACTTAAATTGTAAAATTTGTAAGATTGCCATATCCTAACCCCCTTTGCTTAACCCTGATATATGCTTAAAATAAATACTAGTTTTTTATTAGCGTTGTTTTAGATTAAAAATATTTCATTTAATGTAAATGTAGTGTTTTGTTATCAATTAGAACCTTATATTTTATTAATATGTATTGCATTTATAAATGATAAAGAATCAGATTTTATCGTTTATAAAATAAATAACTAAACAAACACATTATAATTGATATAATATGCGAATTACTGTAAAATATGATTTATTATATTATATATATATATATATATATATTAGCAATTATTTAGTATAAATAAATAAATAAAATATTTAATGCTAATTTTTTACTTTATTGTATTAATATATTTATTATATTCTAAAAATTATTAATAACAATTATATTAACAATTAATAGTAACAAAAAAATATCTATTAATTTAATTCTAATCGCTTTATTTATTGTGGTATACATTAATAATACTATCTATTGTATTATGCTATTATAATGTTAATAATGAAAGATAATTATTATTTTTTTAAATGCACGTATACAGCAATAAAAATATTACTATATTTATTATTTATTGTGATTTTTTAAAAATAATGATTAAATTTATACAGTATATATTTACTTATTATTATTTTTTGTTATTATTATATTAAAAAATCATTTGATTTAAAAATATTATTTTTCAAATAATAAAAATCTACTAAATAATACTTTAGTAAATAATTTATTTTATTTTAATATCTTGTATTTTAAATGTAACACTTAAAGATTAGTATATTATATAACAATTATGCAATTAATAATAAGTGTAAATTTCTTATTTATTATTCAATGGTAACCGGACTTTGTTTGACTTGCATTTGTAACCTTCAACTCATTATGTTAATTAAACGACAAAAATAACTATAATAAAAATAATTGTTTAGTAGTAAAAATAAACAAAACGATCTAGGTTAATTTAATTAATTAGGAATTTGATAGTATAATGTAAATAAATTTATTGTATTTTTTAATTAATATAAAATACACAGAATTATATTAAATGTATAAAAAAAATATATTATTTGTATAGAATATAATGTGAATTAAGAATATATGTTATACTAATGTTGTGATTATCTTTATTTTATATATACGACTATTTCAAGGTATTGTCAATTAAGCAAATAATAAAACTATTGAAATGCAACGTGAAATTGATAAAATAATGTAAATCAACATTTTATAACGTATTATACGTTACGTATATAATATCATATACAGTATAAATTTTTTAATTATAAATATTAATGTATAACATGTTTATATTAATAAATATAGTATTTATGTCTTAGTAACTGTTTTAATGGCAATTTAAGTGTAGGTTTATTTTTATTAATTATATAATATTATTTGTCTAAACTCAGTTTACTTGATTAGCAAACTTGAAATTATATTAATATATTAATAGTTAATAATTATTATATCAGTATTTAATTAAAAAACAACATCTAAGTAGCATATTTGAATATTTTAAGCAAATATAAAATATTTATTTATTATTATTTAAACCATTTTCAATTTATACTATTAATAGGGCTATATATTGTTTATATTATAGTAAACTTACAATTATTGACAAAATATATGAACACATACTCTGGTGACTAACCGGAGGGTTAATTCATGTGATGGGAGAGACATTTGTTTATTTGTTTTAAATATTATAAATTAAATAATATTAATATATATATCTTTAATCAGACAATCATAAACCAGAGAGTCTTAAATAGCGGCGATGCTATTAATTACAATTATGTGGTCAACAATACGTTGAATTTAAAAGTGACCAAGGGCAATGTTGTAAATAATTTTAAAGTAAATAAGATTGTAACTGGTCATTTTTAATTAATTGCATGATTGGGTAGATAATTGCTGTCGACTCTAATTTTTACAATTTTTAAACAGTCGACTGTATACTATATGGCCAATCATAAAATTAATAAAGACTCAAGTATTGCTATCAGAGTGTTAACAGACTGTTGGATATTATATAATATATACATCAGAATAATTGGTCATAAATGTTGTCAATTGTAAGTTTAGACACAAATTTTAATAAATAATATTATTATATTCACTATTTATTAAATTACAATTTGCTTTATATAATAATTTTTTTGTATATTAATTATAGTATAATACTATTACTTAAATCATTAATTAAAACATAAGGATTGAAACTTACTATTGTATTATAATTTGATTGTCATTTAATCAAATTTAATTAAATCAAAAAATATATCACACACTATAAATAATTTATTTTATTTTATTGATTCATAATTAATGAATTAAATTGTGAAATCAATGTTGAAATTAATTACTAAACAATAGAGAATAAAATATTTGTCTACAATATGTTATTATAACTTAAATCTCTTGGATATTATCTCATCTATTGTTACAATAATAACAACTGTAACTTTATTTTATAATTTAGTTTTATAAATATACAATTTTATGCCATCTAGATTTAATTGAAATTAATAAATTACATTTTAATTGTTGTTTTATTATACAATATATTCAATTCATTAATATGTATAGCAATAAAATATTTTCTGGATTGGATGAAATGAAATGCAAATATTTATTATATTGTGTTATAAATATTACAAAAATATTATAAAAATTGTTTAAAACAACACAATATATAATAATATTTATAAATTAGTTTCTTATACAATACATAACGTAATTTGAAAACTAATTTAATTTTAATTTGTAAATAATCTTTATTTGTACTGAACAATAGTAAAAAAATTTAAATCCCTGATTACATTACATACATATTTAAATTTATAAAACTGTAAAACATTGAAATATAAATATTTATTAGTTTATTTAAATTAAATTATTATATTTGAATTAATACTATATGACATTATGCTATAAAGTTGTAACAACTATTAATAATTTCAAATATTCAAATTTCAAATTTTAATTTCATTTCATTTAAAAATCCAATTTGTTTTTATAATCTCTCATTTTCGGAATAATCTCTAAAAAATAGAAACATTTATTAGATTATAATAATATAAAATAATAATTAAGTATATATTTATTTATTTAAATTATAGAAAATAGCTACATAGTATATTAATAAATATTGAGTAATAAAAATTATTAATAAATAAACACAAATATTATTACTTTTTATGATAAACATTATACAGTATTATTATTATTATTATTATTGTAAATCTTTTATTTTGTTATATAAAATTTAAAATATTGAGAAAATTGCATTAAATATACACAATGTAAACCATACAAAAACTTATAGTAATAGAAATAATATATTATAGTTCTCATAATTATAGACGTATATGAGTTGACACAATTATACAGTATATGAGAAACGTTATTCAAAATAAGATTATTTATAGTCGTGTTAATAATGTTATGCCATAAAAATAAATAATAATTAAAAGATATATCAATAAGTTATTGAAATTATGGAAAACATTACGTTGTATTAAACCTTTCCTCCATTTCCTTATCATTTCGGCGCAAAAGTTTCAATTCATTGGTCTTTCGTCTCTTGAAACACAGTACAGCTGCCAGTGCTATGATTATGACTAATAAAAGCACAATAAAGCCGAACAGTGACCACGTGGCCGCCCGATAACCCTTAAACTCAGAGTATGGGAAAGGACTGGGATATACTTTGGTCTTATCCTGCAATTTATAGATAAATCCATTGAAAAAGTCTGCCTGTTGTGTACGATAACCCTCTAACGGGTTGCGCGCCTCCTTAAATGTAGGCATAATACCAGCCCTTTGAAAAATGAGTAAATAACTTGGTGTTTGTGGTGTATACTGACGCCAATTGAATACTGTAGAGCTGCCATATCCGGTGGGTATTGTATTGAGTTTGGAAAGTGTGACAAACAGTCCGGTATACCATTTGGTCAGTTGAGCATCCTGGACAGGATTGTCACGTGAATACTCGTTAGGTAAAACATAAAATGTGTCGTCCATATGGGTAACACCATAGGCGGGACGGGATATTGGTGTAGCTTTGATTTGCATGGGTCCGAATGATTTGCTGCCCTCGTACTCAAACGCAAATAGCCAGACTTTACCGCCCATTGCTGAGTGCAGTCGGGCCACATAGTCGGTGGGTGCCAGGTATAGAAAATCACCCAGCATCTATAATATATAAAGTAATATAATTTACATTTAATATAAAGAAAGTTGATTATTAGTGTTATATCGATTACTAACTTCAGATAATATTTTATCATTTTGAAACTCCATTGTCCCCCCTTGATATTGTGTATTCACATTAGACATGGATCCCTGATAGGGGGCCGGGTTTCGGTTGTTTGGTAGTACACCGTATGATAATCGGTTGTTCATTCCCGGAGCGAGATTACCCATTGGATCGGGATTTAGGGCTACATTCACACGACTTTGATTGCGTGCAAAATATTGGTAATATATTGCCGACGCTATAATGTCTTCCGAAGCCCATTCCTTAAGGAAAGGCCTAATGAGAAATGCTATTTTCTCTTCATTAGTCTGTCTATTATCTACTCTTGCTTTTTGTAGGTAAAATTCTAACGTTCCCTCATCTTTAGTGAAACCCAAAACATAAGGACAGGGTTTAAACAGACTATTTTGATACAGATTTAGTGGCCAGTCTTTCAATATGGCTGACGATGACACGTTACGATCGACCACTGGTCGAAACCAATACGGTTCGTAATTGCGGTCCATATCCCTGTCCCTGGATTTGCCCATCAGTGCACTCCAGTCCTGATTGCGGAGACAGTCCAACAGTTTATCGGTTCGTATGTCACATCCAAAAAAGCTACCGAAGTTCATGGCCTGATCTTTAGGATTATCTTTAAAAGCCCACGGAGTGAATACCGTTCCACCGATCGAAACGGCAGATTGAAAAAAGGCTATACATGAATAACATTTACATTAATCAATAAGTAAAAAATATTTTATAAAAGTAATATTTAATAATTGATGAAAATATGTGTACAATATATTGAAAATTTTGTATAATAACTTACGCCACGCCTCCTGATTGAGGACATGCATAGAGACGGAAATGGCACCGGCATCGTGACCCATAATTGTCACATTGTTTGAGTTACCATTGAATGAACCAATGTTTTCACTAATCCATCGCAACGCCTGTAACTGATCTCTAATGCCGTTATTTCCGGGAATATTGATGTCATCGGCGGAAATGAAACCTATAATTAATAGTTTGTAAAGTAAATAAAGAGTGAATCAATTTTATGAATTAATAAAACGACAAATTTTTCAATGACAACAAACCACACACCTAATGGTCCCAACCGGTAGTTAACAGTAATAATGATAATACCATTGCCATCACTAAGTGAACTCTCTAAGAGCTGGTCCGGCTTAAAGAAGTCTTTGCCACCGTATTTAAACTCTCCGCCGTGAAAATAGACGAGTACTGGCAACTGAACTGTAAACTGATTGGACTATTCAAACAAAATTATTTTTGTAATAATATTTAGTAAAGACTTTCTTATTATATAAATAATATGTTATCTGAGACAACACAACACATACATAGATCGGGGCATAAATGTTAAGTTGTAGACAATCCTCGGACTCGAGTATAGTCTCGGATAACGTATATTCAAACCGTTGTTCCACTTGCGGACACATTACCCGATTTCCCGTACAATCTTTGATATCCGGTGACCACGAATCAGGGTTTCGAGGAGGCTATAAATATTGTATAATTTGTTGTTATTTTGTTTTTATTAATATTATAAAACTCATTAATTATTATTCCTTACATTAAACCTATCGTAACCGGTTGGCGGCCGTGAATAGGGTATACCAATGAAAGCAATAACTTGTTTATTAAATCCCGTTCCTGTGGCCGGCAATGTGTATGGCTTTCCTCTGACCTGACCGTACAATGTCTGAGCAATTGGATTATTGTAGTCAAAGTTAACACATTCATAGATTGCCGCAAAAAATGTCACAATAATAGCCGTATGGATCACAAGTTTTGAAAACTTTATCCAACAGTTCATTTTGTTAAACATTTTAACAATTAATAACAATTATTAATATTTTAAAATTATTATAATAATGTTATTTGATTAAACTTATTATTAATTTTTGTTTAACACATTATTTTATAAAAATATCAAGAAATATTTTTTATATTTAACAAATTTATCAAGTTAACTGTAAAGATGCAGGTCAATTACTAACTTATTAAATAGCGATTATATTATAATTTATAATAAATAGTTGCAATTTGTTTTGTGTAGAAACACGCGTAATATAAAAGTTGATATAAAACAATACTAAAACTAATTACTATTACTAATAATAATAATATTATTATTCGATTAATGTTAACTAACAAAATAAAACACAGATTAATAATAAATTACCAGAAATAAAATGATTAATATAAATAATTGTCAAACGTTTATGTTATTTATCGCTCCGGAAGTTCACATAACAATTAAGTAAATAGTGATATAATACTGTATTTATTTGTAAATAAACTATTTTTATGATTATTATAAAAATTTTTATAAAAATATAGTCAATCAATTAATAACAATGTTATTTTTTCAATATTTTTAAATACGAATAATAAATTATATATATATTATCAATATTATTAATTGGGTTAATGTCTAAAAAAAGACAACAATAATAACTATATTTAGTTCAATTTATTTATCAATAATTATATAAAACTATTAGTTTTATTGTAAGCAATAATGAAATGCTTACATAAGAAGATAATTTTATTTATTTATGTTTTTAAAAATTAATATAAAATTATTATTATTTAAAACTTATAAATAAAAAAATGAAAATTATAAGTATTTCTTTAATAGCAAACTATAAATTATTGTAAATAACAATAACTTAGAAATAAAGCGGTGTTTGTCTACACAAATGATTATTACTATTGATATAATTATTTTATTGTTATTATTATTATTATTTGTGTTAAAGAATGTGTTGAATGCATAATATAATAATAATATGTGAATAATATGAGTGAACTTATTATGAAAAACACCAAAAGAGACGGCATTTGATAGGACTGGTTGTCCGGCCAACACATTCACTATATTAAAGTGATTTGTAGTTACAGTTCCGGTGCCGTCATAATAGCGGCTCTTCTTTTATATGTTTGATAAGTTTATAACAATAATTGTGATAATAAATTGTTATGATTTTTTAAAATGAAATATTTTATAAAGAAAATTATTTAAGTTATAAAAGTTAATACAACTAATTTAGATTTGTTTTATTTTACACAATGTTTTATTATTTATTTTGATTATGCAATGTAAATAATTTTTATTATTATTAAATTTTTGTAATTTATTTTTACATAAATATAAAATTTTTTACAATATTACAATTATAATAAAATAATACAATAATATTAAACAAAATCAAGTTTCGTGATATATAGTCATATATCAAAATAGAAAATAGATGTATTTTATAAATATTTCAATATATTAAACTATTATCAATGAATAATTTTAAAAATGCTATTAATTGATGTTAAATTTTTATGTTTCAAAAGTCATTGAAATACTCTAATAATACTGTACTAACACATTGATATAAATTTGCAATTAATGTTTTTTTTGTTATTTTGTTTAATTTGGATTATTAAAATCGCTATAATAATAATGAGTTGAATATAAGATTATGAGATAAGAGATTTAGCATTTCTTACTAATAATCACAAACCAAAACAGTATAATAAAAGATTAAGAAATTTTTGTTATACCGTGAAACTAATTTATTTCATTTTGTAGTTAAATATAATTATAAGTCAAAACAAAGCATAATTTATTTTTTTTTTAAAACGATAACCTCCAATGTTTTTAATAAATATATTATTTTAAACAATATACAGCAATATGTTTATTCAAACAAATTAATCATATTGTTCAACAAAAAGTGATTGTCTTTTTAATATCTAATTTAAACCAATTGTCTATTAGTTATTTATATATTAAAATTTTCTATATTTTTGTTTATTAATTAATAATTTACTCTATAGCATATAAATTTATTAAAATTTTAAAATGATACCAATTATGTGGTATTTTCCCATTAGTCAAACCTATGTCTAACTGTGTTTATTGTATTTACCTATCTGTTTGTCTATTAAAATATATTTAACTTACATGGCCAAGGTTAATTTATATAATCATTATTTTTAAAATAATTTGTTATGTGATGTACAATATTAGGTGCGACCCCAGTGTTAACATCTTTCTAAGTACACCACCACTAGAGTACTGTTTAGGTACTGTATATATATATAAGAAAAAAATACATAAAATATTACCAAACATTTAATATTATAATTTTAAAATTTATGCTTTGCTTGAAAATCATAATAATATGAAATTTTTAGTAAGATTCAGAAATAATTTTTTTTAATATTACTATTTGATTCATTATATTTAAAATGTTTATATAAAATATTTTCAGATAATATTTGTATTTTTATATACTATTGCTAATACTTACGCTTCGTGGGGAGGCTATGGTGGGGTTGGAGGTGGTAGTGGATCGTGGACTGGATATGGACGAAGATCCGGATGGATTAATAACTTGGATTGGGACGGACGGTCAGGATATAGAAGAGGATGGGATTGTAATCATGGTTTGGGATATGGTTGGGGCAATTATGCTAGAGGTTTAAGTGGCTCTTTGGGAGGCCAGGGAAGTAGATTGGATAATAATTGGAATTATAAAAGACAGCCTGGTTGGGACAGTTATGGTTATGGTTTTGGTGATTGGGGTAATGGTCAACGAGTTTACAACAAATGGTGAAAATGTATTTTATTATTAATAAGTTTTGTTTTCTCCTTATATAAAGTTATATTAGATAAACATATATTATTTTATACAAACTATTATATCTACTTATATTTACAGAACTTAATTCTGTACTTTAAAAATAATTAATTTTTTACATTTTCTTTTCTATATATATAAAATTAATATAAAACTTAATTTTTAAATCATTGTTGTATTTTGTTAACATTATATTGACTATAAATAAAAACTTTTCAATTTACTACTGAATAAAAAAATTATTACAAATAAATATAACTGATTTCATTGTTAAGATAATAAGTTTGTATAATATATTAATCATAAGCAATAAAAATTTATATGATATAAAAACCTAAAAACTAATTTGACTGTAATAGTATAAACAGCTTATACTATATAAAAAAAATCAATATTTGAGATAACAAAAAGTGCTTATTTGTTACAAATTAGCATTTTATGTATATTATTATCTATTCAATAGACTCTCACTTATTATATACATATATATTTAACAATATATAAGTAATATGCACTGTTCACTAATTTTCACTATGAATTTCACTATATATATACAGTATATATATATATATATATAATAATAATTCATTTTTGTGTCCCAAGAAAATAAGCGATTACTTCCACAACATTTACGCTTTAAAAATGTTCACTCATTTGTATCAAAAGGGTTTTTCATATATTATTTAATATATTAATTATGCATTTTTTGCTATTTTATATTAAATTTAATATTATTAAAGATAAAATCGACACTTTTGAAAAACTATATGAATGAATATTGAGCTTCAAATCTATAGTCAATACTTTATTTTCACTTGAATTATGCTTATCTTTTGTAAAAATGTTATAGTAATACATGTACTGTATTGTAGACATAAAGATATTTTTTAGCGATGGAAAGGGAGTATTGCATACAATTTCTCTTTTCTGTGCGTTATTTAACTATTAAAGTGTTGCCACAAAACATGATAGAAATCACAGACTTTTATTGCCTATTCTCGAGCCATGAATACATATATACACACAGTATGTATAGTAAGTGTGGTTTGCTCTCAATTACCACTTCATCGATCACACCACTAGTGGGTAATATGGGTTGTCATCTTTAAGCACCCGTCAACTCTCTTTCTCTGCAAATATAGGGGAAACTATAACAATGAAAAGCGGGTAACAACTCTCATGACTGTATTGTGTTATCGGGTTAGCCATGAATTGCTATTCAATATCATTATGTAAGGTATGATTGCTTTACATAATAAAACACAACATTTGAAAATTTTTGTTTGCAATGTTATAAACGATGTTACATTTCAATGAACAGATATGTTTAACACAATAAATATCTTATTGAAAGCAAAATAAATAACATTTTAGTAACTTAAAAATAAAATTTAAAATAGCCACAATAATATATATTAAAATGCTTATTAATGTAAATTTATTTTAAATAAAGTTTTTATTTTTAAGTACAATTCAAATCATTAACACATTGTATTAAATATGTTTTTAAGGCCTAAGAGAGTAATAATACTAATACTAATAATGAATTATGATTTAACTGTTAATCATTGTAATAAAAATTTAAAATTCTAGACCTAATCACACGAGACATACATTTATAGGAACTTTAGTTTCAAAGGGCTTACCAATGAATGTATGAAATTTATTGATAGTATTCATCATCCATGGATAGCCCTATCATATTGAGCACAGGGAATATGTTTAGCGTTAAGCTATTATTGTAAGTGCTGTGCGCTGAGTGCGGCGGCCAGTGTGGCCTCCAAGCGCTGACTTTGCACCAAAGCCAGGGTAGGGTCGGCAGCGGCGGCGGCGCTCACTATCAGTGCCGTTGTGTCCAATACACCAAAAGAGGGAATGGAGTTCTTTTTGGGTCTTCCTTTAGGTTTAGTCGGCGGTACTGTACATCCAGTTAACATTACCTAACAAATTGATAGTTTTATTTATAGTTTTCTTATTTTTTTATTTATATCATAAAATATACAAAATAATTTTTAAACATCAAATAAACCATTGAAACTTAAATTTCAAACTATTTAATCAATTCTTATATTCATTATTTATACTTTTTAATTATTAATCAGTTTAATAAAAATTAAAAAATTAATTATTAAACTACTTATACTGTATATTAAATATTAAATACAATTATTATATCAGTATCAATAAATGATTTCATACAATTTATATACATTAACGTGAAAAATATATAAATACAAGTATTATACTGTACTAAGCTATTGAAATTTAAACTTCAAATATGCAATATAAAAAGTCTATCTATATATTTTATATTCAAATAAATCAACTTTTAATTAATTAAATTCATTAACAAAATATTAATAACGTATAAATAATTTTGTTATTTTAATTACAGATTGAAGTAATTTTATATTAAAACTTTTAATAATATGATATTATAAATGAAAAGAAATGAAAACCTGTTTTTTCCATTTCATGCGTCTATTTTGATACCAAGTTTTGACCTGTAGTTGTGTGAGTCCCAGTGCTCGGGCTAATTCAGCCCTGTCCGGTGTTGACAAGTATTTCTGTGAATCAAACCTGCGCTCCAAACCCATGAGCTGTAGTTCAGTAAACACCGTACGATTTCGACGGGCTTTACGACCGCTGACTGTTACCAATGGATGACTACTTCCACCGTTTGACGAGTGCTCACTTAGTGGACAATCACCGTCCAGTTGATGTTGACCAGTAGCTGATGCCACGGCCGCATAGTATAGACCATAGAGAGGGTGCTCCCGGGCCAGTATCGATGTTCCTATATGTTTGTTTAAAGCTTCCAGTTGTGTGAAAGCATGTGACATACCTGTGCTCCACTCGTTTATAGCGGTACTCTGAGTGGTCGGCCACAGGTGTTGCTGTTGTTGACTGTCATCTTCATTGACAACAAGTGGACAATCGTGTGGACACTGACCGACGAGTATATCTCGTATGAGAAAAGATTTCTTTTTGCGAAACATTAGTTAATTTTTTAGTATTTTTTAACTTTATTGCCGAAACATCCAAAATGACATCACTTTATGAAAGAATTTATGCAAATGAAGTGTCAGATTGAGAGATGTGCCGCAAGAGCACTGGTAGCTTATAATAGACTCACAAATTGAAAGTTTGTGGTAAAAGTGAGAGCCATCAATGACTCTTACAAAATATCCATTATATTGGATGACATTATTTTGCAATACTTATATACTATAATAAAAGCTCAAAAAATTTTAAAATCAATAGTCCGGGGAATGGGCTATAGATTGTATGATTTTACTCAGAAATATTTCAATAATACATATTTATACATATTTTATAGTTGTTATATGTTTATATTAATTTAATATTATTTATAAAGTTTTAGCCTATAAAACTGATTTTAATATATAATATAATTTGTTTGTTTTAAATTATTTTTTTTAAAAAAAAGTTTGTTATTAGAAACAAATCACTGTTAATGTGAATTAAACAACAAAATAGTATAAATAAAAAGTATTATTTAAATAACCAATTATAATTAATTAAATATAATAAATAAATATTTAATTTTTAAGATGTGTCTGTCCCTTATCTCTAAGTTATATTATGAATATCTGGTCAGCACTGGTAGTAGTTATATAATGTTGTTCAACAAATCAATAGTCATTTGTGTGAATCAGTGTGTTTTCATTGTACTAATCGATTACCAATCAATTGTTGGGAACTGATATATACATTGAAATATTAATACTAAACTAATAATAGCAGAGAGAGTGTCAAATAGTAAGTCATAATTGATGTCTTCTTAATAACAAATTTTAATGACTATCGACATTATCTTTGATTTAATTTTTAAACTTATTTATAAATAATTTAATTAAAAATATGTATAAATGTAGAAAAATGTTTTATTTAAATTAATTAACATTTATTTTACATTTTTAAAATTTATTTCACAATTTTTTAATATTAAAAAATTTAATATTTATAAATACTTTTGTTATTATATAAAAGAAAATTGAAGTTTTGTGTTATTTTTCAACAATCGTTTGACATTTTTTTAGACGATTACTATAAGCAACACTTTTATTGTAAATATTGTTATTTTGTTACATTATGATCATCAAAGTTAATGTATCAAAAAAACTAATATAAGATTTTTATAAATATGTCAATAGATTTATTCTATTATTATAATACAAATCAATATTTTAAAGAAAATTCTTTTTATTTATTATGGGATATAACTTACTGTACATTATGTTTCTATACAAATATACATTGATATGCTATTTATATTTTGATTATCACCTCAATTGATATTATATACACTCTTTTGTATGTTTAACAACATAACTACATTGATAATCATGTATTATAAAATTTATGTCATTTTATAACATTCATCAATATATCCATTGCTATTATATTTATTATTTATTGTGTCTATAGTATTGTAAGGCAATACTTATTTAAAGTTTTCAAATATTTTTTATAACATTTTAGAATTAAATAAATTTATAACTGTATTACTGAAATAAAATTCAATTATAAAATAATTTATGCGTATAATACTTAATTATTATAATTAAACAAGTTAGTTTATAAATTATTAGTAATATTATAATTACAATCTATATTATATCCTATATTTTATGATGAATATATAAAAGTACTTAAGTATAATATTTATTTATTTGTTGTAAAAAGTCATTTATAGATATTTATGTAATGTATTATATAATAGGCCCCTCCTTTATAATTAAAAATTGCAAATAAAATTCAAACAAAATAGGTGTCCACGCGCTGGTGCATGTGTTAGACAATCCCTACCTCTATATAAATATAAAATATAATTTGAGATTTAAAATCAATAATTTTGATTAAAAACTATCTAATCCAACGACAAGTAGTTAACACTTCTAGACACAAAAAACTTATTAATTTAAGTCATTTTTCATTTTAACAATAATGCAAATATAAATTTGTAAAGTGTGTGTTTGTGCATAATTTTTATCTCTAAAATATTTAACAAAATATATTAGTATATTTTGTTAGATAAGTATAATATATTATTTTTATTAAGAATAATATATGATATATAATTTTGACGTATAGAGAGAAAAAGGTTTTTATCTCAATTTGATCACAAATAGTAAAGTCATTTGTAGTTTTCATTGGATGAGAGCACACAATGAATGAAACTTTAAATGAATTTAAACCAAAAAATGTTTGCTTTGAATATATTACTACAAATTTACTTAAAATGCGTAAAAAATGATAACTGTTATGACATTATTTATATTAAATGTAAATTATATATCAATAAGTATTTTATGCATTTTAATGTTATATTAGACCAAAAATTACTTTTGGCTTATCATTGAATAGTTAAAAAAAAGTTTATAATATTGACTTTCAATACTAAAAGTAATATTAATATAAATTATTACACAGCCTTTGATAGCTTTTTCTATTGAGAGTAAATTTTATTATATAAATGTAAAAATATAGTTATTACATTTAATTAGCTTTTATTTAAAAATAATTATTAAAATAAATAAATAAAAATATTATGTAGATTCAATATTATAATAAATAATTAATTTAATTATAAAAAATAATTTATTCTTAATTATTTTTGTAAATTAGTTTCTATTTAATAAATAATGTATTAAATAGATAATTATTTTAATAATATTAAGTATTGTATTTAAAAAATGTATGAATAAATGAATTAAATTGATTTTAAAAAAAGATAATATACAGACTGTATATAAAACAGTATTATAATTGGATAACAACTCTAACCAAAAGATTACCCGACGATAGCAAGTCCTGAGCCCGCGATAAGCGACTAAACGGGATATGACTGATGTGACCACACGGAGGGTTCCTTTCAATTGGTTTTTGAAATGAGTGTCGACTGCATTGACTTTTCTCGGGAATGACCACCTGTTTAAACTCCTGGTGTTTGATTGTACTGTCAGTAAAGTTGTTATTGTTGGTGATATTGTCAACAAAACTATTATCACGCGATTGTCGTACAAATGATAACTCAAATGTTTTATTAAAAGGCCAGTCGAGTATCGAGTCGTACTGACCCTCAATTAGGGCCAACTCAAGTCCAATTGCAAAGTCATTATTTGCCGTACGATTAATTGTCAATAATATTTGGCACAAATAACCTAATAATTAATTTTAAAATCAATTTAATAATATAAACTTACAAAAATATTTGAATAATATAAGAGTATTAATCTGAAAAATATTGCAATTTAATAAAAGCTAATAATTGAAAGTACCTTGTCCATTTGTGTAAAACTCTTCACTGGCCAATGTTTTGGATTTATCTTTAATCAGATCATACTTATCTAATTTACCACTAATGGCAGGTATGAGCCAATTATATTCGGCCACCAGTTTGTCATCCCTGATGACCATTGATGTCTGTTTGCGTTCAGAAAATGARCTCAATTTKGTTAGGAAACCGATTTTCAACGAATTATTTACAACAAAGTTATAATGAGTTAGTGTTAATAATTCCATCGATTGGACGGTTAGAAAACAAAACTCGGGATAACTGGCCGGTTGAAAGAACGGATCGGTACCGCACTCGCTGGTCGACGGGTGCATCGACACCGAGTAATCACGTTTCCAGTAACCGGGACTCTGGTCGACAATTGATAGCTCAAACTTATATGGAAAGGGCCACTGGAGATACCTTTAATAAAAATAACTATTTAATAAATATTGATAATTGCAATAAAACAATACAAATATAAATAATAATACATTTGAATCAATTATATCCTGATTTTATAGTTTATAAATTTGTATATTAATTTGTTTTAATATTTTTTAATTTGAAGTATAAAAAATACCTTATATATATTTTACTTAAGTTATTATATTATTATTAGGATACCATTAATGTACAATTGTATTAATACAATATTTTAACAAAATAAAATTTAAATGATCTAACCTATCATAATCTCCCTGTGCTAACGCCAATGATAATGCAAATGCATTTCGTTTGGGTAAAAGTGTCAAAAATATTTGTATTAGATATCCGTTTTTATAGGTATAAAATGGTTCACTCGTGAGTACAGCAATTTTCTGATCTGTCAAAGACTGGTTCTGTATTGACATATAATCATTGATAGTCCACTCATAATAGGAGACCAGTTGATTATATTTCATTGATAGCTCAGCCGTTTTATATGCCGTTCCGTATTCAGACATATAGATAGTAAGTTTAACCCAAAGGGCGCCATCTATTATATATTCATCACTTTTATCTTCCAACACGTTTAGCGCTATATGTCGTCTATTGCCGCACCCGTCGGGGTTCGGGTTGTAGTCTTGATCGGCTGATGGCCGTAAAAATGCTGATCTCAATCTACACGAGTCTGTATTGGGAATTACTGCAAACGGTTGTCCATCGCTTAGTTTCAAGTAGTCTATAGTTGTACTGCCGATACCATTGCTGTTGCGACCGGGAGTCTCAGTTGCGTTGGACTTATGATTAACAATAGTTAAGACAGTCTTCAATTTATATGGCCATTCAATCTCCGAATCATATAAACCGGTGACCAGTCTAAAGAAAGTGCCGACATATCCCAAATTATCTGAATAAGTAGTATTAGGTGTGAGAATTATCTGTAATCGATATCCCGGTTCAGATATATAGAATCTAGAGGACAGCGCCAGTTCCTGTTCAGTGGTTACTATTTGCCAGAACTCAGGTATTTTCCAAACAAACTCAACATATTTGCCGTTATTTTGATCGATACTTTCAATTTGTTCAACTGTGCCATAATCTATACATTCATTATACCAGTATTATTGTTAATAACATTATTGTTAATTATCAATATATATATATTTCATTTTAAACAATACAAAAATATTTATATTTATTAATTATAATTATTATTTATAATAATTTATTTCAAATATTAAATTAATCTTAATATATAATTTAAATATAATTTAGTTTTTATATAGTAATTAATATAAATATTTTTACCTAATTTAATGATATCGGATATATTAAATAACTGATCGTCGCACTCAATATARGGCAAACAAATAATTAATGCAATAAAATACACTATTAATTGTAACTCAATTCCCATTATAATAGAAAGTTTGTTATTATTATTTTAGTTGTTATACTATTTGTCAACACTTTAATAGAAATTGTATTATAAAACTTGTTAAACGTATAATGAAAACACAAGTTAAGAGTAATGTTTCAAATAATAGTAATGTATTGTATTTACGCGTATTATATATATTTAAACAAAATATAAAAACTTGGTGTCAAAGTGATAGCTAAAAAACAAACTATTTTATTGAATACTTTCAAAGAAGACAACAATACATATAGAAAATTGAACACAAAAACTATTAAATGACTTTTTTTAGACTTTTGAGGGAAGGGTAGGTTAGGTTAGAAAAAATGAGAAAGAAATAAGAAAGGACTGGGAGTTCAACTCGTTATTTATACGGATGGCTAAGCATATTGTCTGTGCGCCCGAATAAACAGTCTGTTTCTTCGTCTGAGAAAAAGCGAAGAATAGAGAAAAAAGAGAGAAAGAGAGAGAGAGAGAGAGAGAGAGAGAGAGAGAGAGAGAGAGAGCTAAAGGAAATAAAGAGCAGTGAACTTATAGGTAAAAGTCATATCATTTTCTTGTATTATTTATTTAACTTTGACTTTCACTACTTGTTTGCTGCAATTGATGTCATTGTCATTGTTTTATTTCTTAAAACTATTATAATATTTATTTTGTAGATAAAAACCAAAACAAAAATATAATAGACAGTACTGTAGTATATAATAATTTATTTATAATTATAATATAATACTTTGATTTATAGTAATTTACAATATCTAAAATTATTAAATGTAGTAGTAATGTGAATGTATTTGATTTGAATTAAAATGTCATCAAATATATTTGCATTTTAATATAATTTATGTAAATAGTATATTATTGCATAAACTGTAAATATTGTGCATAAAACGATAATCAAAATAAAATATGTTTTGATAAATATTTTTATCAATATTATGATTATCATAAAGATTGCTACTCTCTCTCTCTCTCTCTCTCTCTCTCTCTCTCTCTCTCTCTCACACACACACACACATACACATACACATACACATACACATACACATACACATACACATACACATACACATACACATACACATACACATACACATACACATACACATACACATACACATACACATACACATACACATACACATACACATACACATACACATACACATACACATACACATACACATACACATACACATACACATACACATACACATACACATACACATACACATACACATACACATACACATACACATACACATACACATACACATACAGTGTATATTTTAATAGTTTAATAATAATTAGTTATTTCATTTTATTAAATTGATGAAATAGTTTTTTTAATCTTAAATTATTTAATAATAAAGATATTAATTTGATTAAAAAATTAGATTTTTGTAAAAATTGCAGAAAAAACATAAGAAAATATCACTTTATGGTTAACTGATTTTTATTCAAAACTTGTAAAATACAATAAATTAAAAATTCTAATATAAAAATTTTGTTTCTATTGTAACGGCAGCTAAAGTTATTAACAAAAATGCATATTGTGTTTATTTAAATATAACTTTTTAATTTTTATATTAAACTTTAAAAATTTATTGTATTTTTTCTATGTATTATTATTTTGTAAAAAATCTGTTATCATAAAAATGATATATTCTTATAATTTATTCTAATAAGTTTGATAAATAAAATGCTTTTTCTAAATTTAATACTTTAAAATATATTTGTAAAAAAAGTTTACTGAAAAACATTTTAAAATCTATATAAAACATATATACAATATATATAAATACAAGATCATTGAGTATTCAAATATGTGTTGGACTCCAATTAAAACACAATGAAATTTAATTGAGTTAATACCACAAAAAAAATAATAAGTTATATAAGTTAGGTTATAATAATATAGATTATGAAAATAGATTAAAAATTTTAGGTTTAAACACATTAGATAATGAAAGTAAAATAAAAAATATTAAAACATGTTTTTAAAATCAAATCCATGTCATATTCATTGGTTTAATATATTAAGTTTCTATAAAACATCACGTAATGATATAAAAATTAAAATTAACTTTAAACGCATTGTATTAATAGATGAAAAAAATTTGTTATATAAATTATTCTTATATAAATCTCATCGTTTAATACTAAATAAAATTATTATTATTAATATTATTATAAATTATTATTTTGTTAAAATAGCTTTTATAAATAATATTTAAAATAAATATACAAAAAGCATTCATGATTTATTAAATGTAATTTTTATTATTTTTTTTTATTATTATTAATAAATATATATATTTATAAACATTTATAATTCATTAATTATTATATTGTTTTTTTGTTGTAAATTGTGTGACTAAAATTATTATAATTTAATAATAATTAGATAAAATTATAAATATAGTGGTATAATATATTAATAAATATTTGTTATTAATTAAAACAATATAATAAACTTTTTGTAAAATAAACAAATTTATAATAATATCATATGATGATCATTGTAAAATATAAAACATTGAGGACAAGTAAATATATTTTTAAAATTAGTTTAAATAACAAATTTTTTTATCTTGCATTTGTATATAAATTAAGGCTTTATTATAGTATTTATTTTATTCATGGATTATAATGTTATGATGTCAAGACAATAATAAAATTGTTATTTATCTATTATTGTATTTTATACGTTTATTAGTATATATTATATTTTTTTGTTTAATTTTAAATTTAATTAATATTATTATAATTATTAATTTTATATATATCAATATTTTAAAAATAATAATAATGATAATATGTAATAACATTTGATTAAAAACAATTAAAAATTGGCCGTAAGATTACTGTAGTTTATAGTTAACTATATTATATTAATTAATATATTAACAATAAATTAATTTTTTAGATTTAATTACTATCTAATTTAATACTAATAATTTTATAATAATAGTAATTATATAATAATATTAATTTTTTCATAATTCTAATCTAATTATTATATAATATATGGCGTTAAAATTTGAAGACAAACTTAACATAAGTGTACTTTCTATTTACTTATTATTAATAATTAATATTATTAGTTATTTACAAATTACAAACACTTTGCTTTACTTGTCATGACATATATAATATTAATATAAATATATGATAGTATTTATAAATAAATTTATCTTTTTTATAATAAACTTTTATTGAGTGTTACCATTGTTATTATATATAATAATTTTATATTTGAATATTATTTTGGTAACACAATTATTTTAAACATATTATGTTAAATATTTTGAACAATTATCAGTTTCATTTTAATAAATAGTTTGATATTTACATTTTGAGAGTAAAAACGACAAATTAAAGAAATTATAAAAACTGTTTTGATTAAACATCAAAATTGATAGTTTAATCTGGGTCAAAATCCATACTTCCCGGTGCTGTATGAGCCGTACAATATTTATATTGCTAAATTTTAATATTTAAAAATTAATTAAATATTAAATTAATCAAAATAATGTTTGATAATTTTTTTTAATACTAAACTAAAGAATGTAAAGAAAATAGAGAAAATAAAGTTATAATGTTTATTATAACTTTAAAATTTTTTAATCTGAGTATTATATCTAAATACTGTAATAAAAAATTAACATTCAAACAGTAAATTTTGTTAAAACTCTAAATTAATGAATCGTGAATTTGAAAAATGCTTTAAAATTAATACTAATTTATATTCAGGTTTTATATCGTACGGTACAAAAGCATCGGATGTTTTGCTTTGAAAACTATTCAGAGATGTTATTTGAATAATTGATTGAAAAATCACGAGATTATAGGTAAGAGCCGATCACTTGAAATCTTTTGTGTCAAATAATAATAATAATAATACTATTATATAATAATATATTGTGTCTACTCTTTAACTCTTTAATTGTTTGTATACTATGGTACTCAACAAAAAGCATATCTATATAAATGCATCCAATTATTAAAGTATTGTAAAAAAAACTCTTTCATTAACTGATTACACAAATTAAAATGTATTAAACAAATTAACTGAAGAGGAAATGGATTTTTTGTTAGTTTTGAATAATTAGACACAAAAGCTGGTCGTCTGATCACTTAATCTCGTCTGGACTTTGACCCTAAAAGAGTAAAAAAGAAACGCGTGTTCGTCGCGCGTCTCCTTCACTCTGTGGTCTGAGAGCCCGTCGGCCCGCACCGAACTGTCAAATGTCCGGATCGCCCGATAGTCCGCCTCCTTTGATACCCATTCCGCCGCTGCTATCGTAGAACATCTCGGCCTCCGATCKCATCGACGGCGACAGTGTCCGCGCACGTGTCCTCAGAGCACCTTGCATGTCCAAATTGTACTAGGTCAGTCACAYAAACATAATTATGTTAATTAATATTACAATTGATCCAGTTCATAGATTAACAAATTATAGTTAATATAGGAGTTAATCAATAATATTATAATAAACACTACAAGTATTAATATACTAATATTATTTATAATTAATCAATAGTAACAACCAATTATAATATTTTGTTAGATTGTCATGGGCAATTATTAAATGGTCACTAAATTACCATGTTGGAATTAATTAGGATTTTACATTAGTACTAATACTGAAATTTTATCTAATATATCAGTTTGTTTTTTGTTGTTTAAGCATGGTCAAACTCTCACCAATAAATCAAAATGTGATCTTTAATGGTTAACTTCCATTAAATGAGATATCCATCAATTTTAAATAGCTTTCCTATTGAACGTAAATGATCCACAAAATTGTTATTTATTTTTAATTTATTTCTTAAATCATTTTTTATTTTTTATCATCAAAAAAATCAATTTCTTTTAAATATTATTTTATTAATACAGTATATTTAAAAAATTATTTATACTGTTTTATAATATTTAAATACTTTTTGTAAWTCTTTTTTATTTTAAAATATTAAATATAAAGTTATAATAAATAATTTCACATATTATTCGATAGTAATCTTAAAACTAAGATTGTTTAATTATTAATAATTATTTTCTTAATTACTAAAAAAAATATTTTTATTATTTTCTTACAACTGTATATACTGTACAGTATACAGTATATATCATAAATTGTATATTATATTATGGAGCTATTTAAATATTATACATTTTTATTATCAAATTAAGTTTAAAATTAAAAAAAAATATGTTTAGATTTTTGTACAATCATGTTTTATATTACAAACAAAATATATTATAAATACATATTAAATATGTAAAAATTTAATTATTTTGACTAATTGATTGTGTGTTACCTGATTGGCACAATTGGCACAGTTTTTGGCAACTAAATTAATAACGGACATCAAGTTTTTGGTCTCTTGGATCACATTATCTACTTTAGTAAAAGTGGCCGCTTTGCCGACCGTAACGTTTTTGACGGCAAACTGCAATTGTTGGACAAATGTCGGCACTTTGTCCACATTATCCAACAGTTCCTTCTTTGGCGGACCCGATGGCACCTAAAAATAATATTATTATCATTATTATAAATTTATATATTATGTATGTTATATTTAATATCGATTTAATGTGTATATCATATATTTTTTAGTATATTTAATATTAATTTATATATCATTATTTTACTTATTATTTTTTGTTATTTGAATGTAAAAACAGTTAATTAATATGTTTAAACTAATAAAGTGCTTTTTTGCTAATATATGTTATATAACATTAAAACATTAGATTTACTAACAAATTTGAATTTGTACTGYAATTACTAATTATATTTACGACTTAATAATAGCTATTAATTTTCTATTTATTAATCATCTGTTTAAATAACTTTATTTAATGTCAAGTAAAATGTCAAAAAAATATTATGTTTGTGTCACTCAATAAAATTAAATATGACATTCAAATTATACAACAACATACTGTATACTGTATAATGCATTCACACGTTTTGTGTCATATAATGTTTGTCTAATAATATATAATATTGAATTTGATATATAGTTTATAGTGAAAGATAAACTAAAAATAAATTTTGATAAGAATTAAAGTTTTATACATAAAATCTGGTGATTTGTTTTGACACATATTTAAATGACATGTTTTAATGCAACAGCACTATACTGTATATATACTGTACTTGAAATATAATTAAAACATATATTTTTATAAATTATATTAATATTAATATAAATTATATATTTTACATAATTTTTTATTTACTTTTACTTACTTATATGACATTATTAATTAAATGCTTATATTACTTAATGCGGTACTTTATGTATAATATAATAAACAATTTAATAAATTTTTTTAGTTTTTATATATTTAGRAATTTTTATACAAATAACTTATAATAATTCATAATATACAGTATACAGTATATACTGTATATATATATATATATATATAYATAAGTATATAAACTTTGTTAAAGTAATAACAGACATATTATATAATAATAGATTATATTTGATATTAGAAATCTTATTGAATCTCTATTTACGACAATATAATATCATAAGACTTCAAACCTAACATACAATTACATGTGTTTATAACGATAACAACTGGCATTTCATACAAATATTATGATATGACATAAAATAGACACTTGAATATCACTATATGCTTACATGTGATGGGATCACCACAATGTCTAACACTTAAATGAGATAAAAAATGTTAGAAATATATATTACTAAACATAAAAATAATATCGCAATTATCATCACTTTCGTATCACATAATATATGTGGTTTATCTATCATTCAAAACATAACAATAGTAATATTACTGTGTAATGTATATTATAACTTTACATAGTATATAAAATTATTAGTGAAAATGATTTTTTAAAAATTATATAATAATTATATATTTAATTAGTATTATTGTTGTTATGCTTAGATTATGTGATAAAACAACATTTTATTTCTATTATTAGCTCACATATAATTGTTAAACTTTCTGACGATTATGTACTCTAATGTCTATATTTTATGTGTCATTTAGTAAATGCAATTTCATAATATAGCAAAAATAGATTATAAGTAAATGTAAATACTAGATGTTTAGTTTAACACTTAGTAAAATCTATAATATTAGATAAACGTACTTTAATAAAAATAATATTAATATAAATGTTTTAATATTAATAATTTTAATATTAGTGATTCTAAAATAACATTTAATATTAGTTGCAAAGACAATAGATAATAATTAATATACCGGTATTAATATTTTAATAAAATATGAAATATAAAATTACTAATTATCTAAAAATTATATGTATAAAAATATACTCTACTATGATATGTATATCAATAGTTAAAATTGTTATACTTATTTAAAAGTGATATAAAGTGTTAATTAAAAATAATATTAAATAAAAATATAACTTTTTCATATATATTTATATTTTTGTGAAAGTATTTTAAATATGTTTTATTTGTAAATTAACATAAATATACAAATATAATATTTCAGTGTATAAACAACTAGTGAAACCAAAATGCTTATTAAATAAATATTTTTTTAAATATGTCAGCAAATAAAATAAGAGTCAGAAAATTGAGGATAAAAGTGATGATTACCTGATAAGAGAAATGTCTGACAATTTTGTATAGTTTATTGCCCTCATCAGCGAAGAACTCTGCCTGAGTGAAGAGGTCTTGTGTTGTCTTGAGTTCACCCTCTCCTCTGGTGAACTGAAGCATAGATGTGGCCATCGTTGACATAGATTTTACTTTACGTGCGATATCATTATCATCTTCAGCGTTGGATGCCTTGCCCTCAACATCTGTTCCCATATCGGTATCACTTGACTGTCCTTTTCCTTTGCTTTCTTCGTCCGAATATCGCGACGACATATTGCCGGCAGCATTAGGATTGGGCATAACTTTGCTCATCGATGGACTCCCGGTGTTCATTGGGTTTGTCATCTGACTGGCGCCGAACGGCTGTGTCGACCGCATTGTCGACGTGGAGGTTCCGGCGGCTGCTGTACTCAATGGCAAAGTACCGGTCGGATATCGTTGTTGCGGCAAATATACTGAATTCTCCAGTTGTGGACACCCGCGAACGTGTTCAGACACTTCGCGGGCTAACTGAGTCAAATCACCGCACAATAGGTGCCAAACATCGGCAAAGACGTCTAAATTTTCTTTGGCTATCTTACTGTTCGGATGTACAGCTAGTGTATGACAGGCAGCTATCAGTTGCTGTCCGTGTACTTCCAGCGACATCTCCAAGTGTTTGGACTTAATCTGTGTTGTGTCGGTGGGCGACGTGTGATGGAGTAGTCGACACACCTCCTGAACCCGTTCACAGTATTCGTTGAATTGTTCGCACAATTCGTCGAGCCGTTCCTGATCGCTGGCCAGAGCTGTGTTACGCAATCGGCCGACCATATCTTGATGGTGGGCCTCCAGTTTGAGAAGCTCGTCRATTTGGTCTAAGGCAGTGTCTTGTAGCTATAGAAACAATAGGTTCAATGGTTAACATAGTCTAATCGCTTATATAGGGMGTCATATAATAAAACCTATACCTCATTCTTGAGGTCAATACTAGCTCTAAGTGTTTGTGTTATGGAAGCTTCAAAGTCTTCGCTCGGAGACTGTGATGATGACTGTTCCTAAAGGATATTCATTTCAATTATTAATGACTCTTAACTAATGGATAGACTTATTTTGATGGCATACCAGGCAAAGCGCATTCCTGAGCAATGAGTTGAGCTCGAGTCGGGCCCGATCACAGAGTAAGAGTATCCTCTCCCGGCGCTCGTGACTGGTGTACGCCGAGTCCGTAAAGTCCTGCGTCCTCTCGACCACTGCAGCTAAGGCACAGTTAAGCCGATCCCTAATGTGTTGGCCAACAAACGTCATGCGACACATCTCTATTAAATCCTATATTAAAATATTTTTTATAGATTTATTGAATAATTTTATAATTTAGATTTAATTAAATCATTAATACAATGTCTTATTTAATTGAATTATGATTAATAAAATGATTTATAAATTTGTTTTATAATTTTAAGAAATTTAATTTAAGTCAAAGAACAAAAAAAATTAAACTATAACATATAATGTTGGTTTTACAGTAAAATCTATATAAATTAAATAATTAAAAAAAGTATTTTATTAAATAAATCTAATTATTTTTAAATAAATACAGTAAGACATATAAAATGAATACTTGTAACTACATTATTATTTTTTCATTAATTTATAGTATCTGTGATTTGTATTGACACAAACATTAAGCTATTGTGTCGATTGGTATCAAAAAAGCTTTTTCCAAATCAATGACTTGTGATTCATGTGTCCATTAGTATTGTTCATCAAATTCCCCGATGTTTTCAACCCATACTATCTTATTGTTACGAGAGTTAGGACTAAAACAAACATCACTGTTAAGGCAAATACATTGGCATCGCATGTAAGACAATGTGAAAAGACAACATTACTTACTAGACTGACTTACAATACAGATTTTACCTGTATTATTATTATTATTATTATTATTATTATTATTATTATTATTATTATTATTATTATTATTATTATTATTATATATATATTATATATATTATTATTATATGTGGTTATACAGGCAACATAAAAGAGGTTGGCCTTTATATAGTACAGTATATACAGATTTACAAAAATTTATATTACAGATAACTTTTTTGTTAATATAAATTTATTTACAAAATTTACATTAGACTTGGTTATAATCCATATCATGGTTATAATATTATAAATTTAACAAATATCTATAATATAAAATAATCAAACAATTTTTRTTTTTTAGCTATTTGCTTGATTATAATTATAATAACTTGTAATATAATACATACAAAAAAAGTTATTTATTCAATAAAATGTTATTTAAATTTAGGAAATTTATGTGATTATAGAGACCTATAGGTCAATACAGTACTGTGTAAAACATTGTGAACTACAAGAATTTGATATTATATATACAGTACATGAATGACAATAAATTTATGGGTCAGTCTATTACCTACCGTTCCTCTCATTCATTCAAATAGATTGGTTTAGATTAAATGATAGTTCAGTATTAGATCCACACAAATATACATAGAAAAAGTCAATTTTGTGCTGAACTCTAATCTTTATTTTGATTGCCTATCGATTATTTGTTTTGTTGTTAGTTTTTTTTTGAAAAGAAATATTTATTGTAATCTTATGTATAATATTATGACTCAAATCGGATAATTAAGAGATGAGTAATATAACAAACGTTAAGCAAACAAATGAATATCTTTATGTAAACATTTGTATTTTATTATATTATATATCATATAATATTTGCTAATATTTATAAGATATGTCAAACAGTTTGACTGGTTTACTAAAATTAGAAAATTATATAACATAAATTTGTTCACGTTTTATCATATAATTAGCTATATTTGTTTAGCAAAAATAACTTTTTATGTTTACAGTATTTCAATAACATACGTATAGATAAATAAATATATTGTATGTTATAAATCGATTTAAAATTTACATAAAATAAATTTTTAAACATATACTATATTTTGTAAATTGTAAATATTGCTAAATTACAATATAGTATTTATTTTTTTATTGTTTTTATTATTTACTTAAAATAATAAAAGTTAATTAAGTGCTATATTATCATATGGTTATTAATTATTTATTTAAATTATTTGTTAAAAGTATTTACTTTAATTACTTTTAATATATTTAAACAATTATTTTATATAATAATAGTTAACTTACATGCAGTCGTCTGACAGCGTTATAAGCGGTAATACATTCATCCCATTCCTCTAGTTTCCACTCTGGTGTCTGGTATCTGGTCTCATATCTGGACACATGACGGCCAGTGCGTCGCATATTAGTTTCATATGTGGCCGCACTGGCAGCCAATTGGGGAATCACACCATCTTTGACTACCATATGAATTAAGTCCATCGCCCGACGCATCTGCAAGAAAACAGTGTCCCGATTATCACGAGCCGTATCGCAATCGGGATGTCTGAGACAACACTTGGATGACGTCAACAGCATCATCGTTGAGCGCTCCAGTATCTGTCGGGCACAACTCATTTGAGCCCTACGGCGCTCATCTTTCAAATCCTATTTTCAAATATATTTACATTGCAAATGGTTTAGTTAGATAACTGAATAAATAATAGTAATAATAATAATAATATTGCGAAATGGCATACATTTTGTCGATCACCGGTGAGATGCGCCAACTCAACCATTTCAGTACCAAATTGTGAAAACGCTTTAACAAATTCAGTAAAATTGGCCACATTTTCCAACCGATTTAAACTAATTGACACCTGKATTATAATCAGTTTAATAAATATAATATATATATACATAAATTTATAAATAGATAATAATTCATTGGTTATAAATAATATTTTTTATAGCATATGCTAAACGTGTTTAAAATATTATTAATACATAACTTTGAAAATATCATTCATTTTTTCAATCTTTTTGAATAAAAAAATCTAATGATATGTCAAATATTGTGAGAAATGTCTGTCAGTCAACTCTCTCTCTCTCTCTTTCTCTCTCTCTCTCTCTCATTCACCCACTCTTAACCACAAAAATATATTTTTAGATTACTATAGTTAATATAAATTTTAAAATGACATGTAAAAACTTAATCTACAAAAATATTTCTTAAAATATTTTGTATAATGATTGATAACAAATAGAGATATATTCTATACATTAAATAATAAGATTGTATAACATTTTAATTCAAAAAAGTAAGTTAAACACATTAAAGTACATTAGCAATATAAGTTATACAGTAGAAAAAGTAAATAAATATAATTTTTAATATAAAACATAATATACTATAGTATATATATATATATATATATATAGTAAAATGTACTTATGAATTATGATTTTTTTTAAATTTCTAGTAATAATTACTAATTAATTATTATTTGTTTGTTAAATACAAATGTATTGTGTTGCCTGAAAAACATCAAATTTTTAAAATATAAATTGCTTATAAATATTATAAATCTTTATACTCTTATTTTATAATTATTTTAAAAATTTTTACTTTTTCCTTTATATAATTAATAAATTAATAATTTGATTGACTATATCAAATAGTATTTAATGTAGATAATAATTTATATTAAAAATATATTTATAATATGTAGTAATATATTAAAGCCTAATAAAAATCTGAATTATATTGATTTATCTGTACTATAAACCTTGTTTCATAATAACTGACACTAAATTTACTTAACTAAAGTAAACTACAATATAATAGCAAAATTAATAATTATAATAGATTTTAAATAATATATTCAAATAGTATATTATGTAAGAATCTGTTCCCGTTTTTTTCTTTAAATTATTTCTATGATTACCACTTTTAATCGGGATTTAGTTACCCGATAGTAAATTTTTTAGAATTCTGGACAAAAATTATCTTAAATGTCTTGGTTATTAACCATGGTAATTTTTTATGATGTTGCTCCTTTCTAACCAAAGATAAAGGTTAGACAAACATATTGGATGCACCACAAAGAACTGGATGGTCAATATCAATGATATTTAAGATAATTTCGGTACAAACTTCCGGAGTCGTAAATTATGTTACCGAAATATCGATTATAATAGTGAATTAGAGAGACCAAACGGACTAATTTAATATTAAACTACAACTTATTTTAATCTTTATATATTATATTTTAATTAAATAATAATTATTTTTCGATAAATTTAATTATAACTCAATTTAATTCAATTTAAATTAGTGTCAGTTTTTATGAAACGATGTTTAGATAGTACTCTAAACTCATTTTGTAGACATTTCATTAATACTCATAAATATTATATGTATATATCATTGATGGGTTTCAATGCTTTATTTTTATAATACTTAAACATATAATGGTGTAAATATATTGTTGACAATTGATTGAACACTATTTATCAAAATCGATGACAATATAAGAAACTATTTTGGTTGTGAAAATAAAAATGCAATGACTTAACCATTCAATGAGCGCTTCAATTGATAAATTGATTGACATTTTTATCACTCATCGCACTGTATGTCTATACTATTTGTTGGACACTCCCTATGATAGCATTTATACATAAATATATCAATATTTAGTAAGAAGGAAAAAAGTTTGATTCAAGTCAATAACTATTTATTATTAATATAACTTTACTATTTATGTGTCGCATAAAATATGATAATATATTGTAGTAATAGTTATAATATAAAAGAAATAGTACCAATTTTGATATCACCTAATAATATGTGTGACCATCATTACTATCTTTTTTTATTTTTATCATCAGATAATGGATCAGATTTTTTCGTTTAAACAACATTAAGCCACTGTTTTCTCATGAAATGTAGCCATCATTTACAATATGTTTATGTCAATAGGTATTACAGTTAGATGTGTAAAAACTAATTTTCTATATCATATAAAGTATATATAGGGTCAACCATTTTGCAAGATATTACTGCTAGTATTAGATTCAAATATAAGTTATTTTTGTAGAAGATGTGCACAAATAATATGCCAATACATAATAAATGATATAAAATAAATAATGATAAATATAACTATAAAATTTAAAGTGTATATAAATATAAGAAAAACTGGGATAAAATATTCATTTTTTATCTGAAATTATTTTACAAACAACAAAAAATATTATAAATTTAGACTTTCAAGCCTTAAGCAACAGAGTTAGCGGTTAGTGACAAACATTGAGTACACCATTAGAGACCATAGCGATAGACAACTGGCTTAAGGGTTGGCATATAAATAAAAATTGGTCGTCAAAATGGCTATAAATTTATGGCGAAAGTGTATGTGTAGTAAAATAAATTGAAAACTATTTTACTTATATGTAGTGAAAATATCGGAAAAGATTATATTCAGTGAAAACTATAAAGTTTTTTTGGTCTAAAAAAGTTTTGTATTCATGAGAGACTATCACTGGTAATAAACTTATATAAATGTGTACCGACACACAATCACATATATATATTTGATGTATTAATACATTGATATTTTAAAAGTATTGATGTATAGTTTTTTAAAAATAAGAATGGGAATTGAATTTAATAAAGTTTTTTTTTATATTTTGATATACAGTAAAAATTTTGCACAAAAAAATTATTGTTGAAACTAAAGTGAAGTAAATATAAATGGATTTGAAATTAAATTTTCATATGTTTTAGGCTTTCAAATTCATGCATTAGCACCAAAAAAATTAACTCAAAATTTTGAAGATAAGTTGATAAAAAAAATATTTATAAGTGAAATATATATATCTATTGGAAAAAGTATGCATTTATATTCATTAGAAAAACAATGTTTATTATTAATATTTGAAATTTAAAAAATATATATAAATTAAGTCTACCAAATAATTAAAGAAATTTATTTTAAATTTAAATTATATATATGCAGTGAACAGATGAAAAATATTATAATTAATAAGATTATCAATCTTTTTCATTATTACAAGTAATTTAATCATTTTTTCACAAAATATAAATAAATATAAATTACATCAGTATTTATAGCAGTAATAATCGCTTTATAGACATCGTGACTGAATTAATGGCAASCCTTGTGGTCACATTTGCATTGAAATTACATAATTATTACACACTTAATATTATAATCATTGCAAACATTTGTCGACACAATAAAAACATAACGACACCCACCCGTGTTGATGACTGTGCAAACAAACATACGGTTATTACACAGTAGAATAGTTATCAAACGGCAATCTTATCCACAATTTTATACAATTTGTATGTCATTTGTTTAAAATACAGTATTGTGTCACTTTTAAGACACATGAAAATACTAAACTCAACAATAAACAGTGTGTGTATGTGTGTGTGTAATCAGTATCACCAGTAATATGCTGTTTGTAAACACCACTAATCATTTTGACGGCTCATTATTTGCAGATTAAGTGGGATTTAATAAGTCAGTCAAGTTTTTTCATGAACTAAGAGAAAAAAATAGTTATCAATGTAAGTGTAGGGAATGGGCTTATATGTGTTAGTGGCATAGTTTAACAAATATTAGGTAATATAGATTTATATACAGATATATATAAATTCAATATAAATATAGATTAAATTTAGTTTTCTTTGCGATTTATAGTGAATGTCTCTGAAAAAAACGATTGAATTGTGAATTCAAGCAAAGAATTTTTATAGCTGTGTCTGTCGTCTCTCTCTCTCTCTCTCTCTCTCTCTCTCTCTCTCTCTATTGTCGGTGTCTCTCTCGGTGTCTGTCTATCTGTATGTCTCTGTGCTTCACATTTAGTATATGAAGAAAACGCCATTTTATTACATTGATTTATAAATATAATAAAAAATGAGTATAAAATGAGACATTTATTCAATTGCGAGAAAAGGAAAAAAGAGAGAAATCTATACAACATTTGTTGGGACCGACTATGAAACCAATGGCTCGAATAAGAATGTATTGCCTTTTGAAAGGAAAGTTAGTCTAAGAATACAACACTAAGAATACATTATTTTCTTCAATTGAAAGCACAGTTGTGTTTCTCGTAGGTCTGACTTTTTTTTGCGTAAATGCACAGTGCGTTTATGGGTTGATTAGCTAAAGAGAAACTGGGAAGCAATCATTACTAGTGTTTTACTGATAAAAAAAATAATGAGAAATAAAAAACACAATTCTCTGTATCTATAAATTGCTATTATTGAGTAAAAACTTTGAAAACGAAATAAACTGAATGTATGAGTGAGTGAGTGAGTGAGTAACTGAGTGAATGAGAGAGTGACTTAGTAGGAGAAAGCCATTGAATAAACTATAGTAGGAAACGTCGGGTTGAGTTCAAAACCTAACCGACACTAACTACAGATATTCAGTGTTTTTTGAGGCAATTTTTTATAAAACAAAATCGATTGATTCAATGTTTCGATTTTATCAATATTTTTTTGTGCATTAAAAGAGATCAACAAAATTGATTGTTTGCTTGCATTACATATTTGTTGGAAGAAAACTATGTATATCAACAACAATAGCAAAACAGATAATAACATCAAATAAGTTATATATATATTTTTGATTATGAAAATTACATATTTGTTATGAGATTGAATAAAAATTCTAACTTATATAAAAATATAATGTATATAAATTAGAAAATATAATATTCAACAATGAAAAAATCATATAAATTATGCAAAAATTTTTATTATTATTTAATATCCAACAATAAATATGATATAAAAGTTCTACATATAATCTACATAACGGTCATTCATTATCGGCTACCATACATATCAATAAAATGTTAGACAACTTAAAGTAAAACCATTAAATGAAGTGTACGTCAATAGGTTTAGATTGATATGAAAAACAACCCCTAAATAACAACAAAAACTGTAGATTTCTTTTTTGTTTGAAAATAAATCAAACGATTCTTTACAACGAATTATATACCAGACTATTGAATGTTCAAAAAATTATAGATATAAATCGGAAATATTCACATATTATTTATACATGTATTAATATATATATATATATATATATTATATAATTTATATCATCACTTTACGAGTCATCTAATGCTTATTTTATTTAGTATAGTATTATAAGTTGAATGGGTATGAGATGCTAAAGCAATAGTTACATCAGTAATAATGAGTTAGAGAGTATAGTATAGTATAGTACAGTATATCCATAAATTTATATCAATATAGCAATATTATAGTATAGAATGTGTGCATTCATGATATGGTTACATAACATTAGCGACACCAACAGTAACAACAAAAATAATGTTAGATTTATTTTATCAATAAGAGTGAGATATAAAATATTGCCTCAAATATCATAACTCAGATGCTTTAGGAGAGTTGAAATCCCATAAGAAATTGAAAATACATTTGCATTTAATATTATGCTATATTTCTTATACAATATATTATATAATATAGACTTTATATGTCTGTAATTTTAATGCATTTTCAGTTTTCAGAGATCAATAACAAAAACTATTCAGTATTATTATGTAAACCATTGGACACACACATACATGTATTATATGCTTGTTTTATAGTAAAGTTATATTTAATGTAAACTATTCATTTACTTTATGTATGYATTATAGTATACTTACAGTACTGTATATCTGATATAATATTATAAATAATAAAAGGGAATATTGTATTGCACTTGGATTATGCCATTTGGATTTAACAATAATAATAATAAAAATTATATATAGTAAATGTTAATATACTTATAGAAAAGCAGCTCACAGATCCCGGAGCAAAATAAAAACTACTAGTCCTCAGTTTATGCTTTCTCAAATAAGGAGTCATATTACTTATATATATATATATATATAATTGTAGGTCATTTGTTTATATATAAAATGTGTATGTGTTTAGGACTTAAGAGCCTATAGTTAAGTTGCATAAAAAGCGTTACATAACACACACACACACACACACACACACACACACATAACACACACACACACACACACACACACACACACATACATACATACATACATACATACATACATACATACATACATACATACATACATACATACATACATACATACATACATACATACATACATACATACATACATACATACATACATACATACATACATACATACATACATACATACATACATACATACATACATACATACATACATACATACATACATACATACATACATACATACATACATACATACATACATACATACATACAATCACTACGTTTACTGTGGACATAAATAAATCAAATTACAACTTTTGTGTTTCACGTAGTGTTCAATACACAGTGTATAATATTTATAAGGAAAGTGCTGATCAAAGCATAATTGGCCAATAGATTGATAGAAAATACAACTATATATTCAATACAATAAGCTTATACAGTAGATATATAATAAAAGTTGCTTGTTCAACATACTAAAACAACAATAATAATAATAATGATAAGAGTACAGTATTGTATCAATTTTAATAATGTTAATATTGCTTACATTACTAATCAATAGTGTTTATATTTTATATATTAAATAATATGTCAATCATAATAGTAATTTTTAGACTAAATAATGTTTTAACTTAAAATTAGATAAAATAACATATTTTATCAGTTTGTATAAGTCTTAATACACAAATTATTACATAGATTTATAATTAATATAATAATAATATTATTATTATGGATTAGTCMATTAAGATAATTAAATTATATGGTTATTATTATTTGATAGACAATATTTTTTGTCATTTGATGACCATTTTTATAGTTATAATCGTCTAAAAATAGAAGAAGTGGTAGATATATACTGTATATATATGTCAAAGACAGTCGATTTTATATTAGTTAGAATTGTCTAATAAATAATGAGATTTATTTAGTTGACATTTAAGCACTACTCGACATTTGAAAAAGAGCTCAATTATTGTGTGTATGTGTTTAGATAATAGTAGTGATTGACTCCCAGTCTATGTGTATGTATCTACTAATTTAGATAACTTATTGTATTAGACAATAGCTTTTATATCTGTTTGAGTAATAATGTATTATTGAATGTATTTTATTTTTAATAATATAATTATCATTTTAAAGTTACATTATTTTTATATCAGTAGTACTGATTCAATACTATCTAAAGATGATAATTAAATTTTATAATTTTGTTTGTACTGTATCTAAATCATTAAAATTATATTTCATATATTATATTTTAAAAATGCTTTAAATTCAATTACAAATTATTTGACTTATTAAGTATTTTTAATTTCAAAAATAACATTAATAATTTTTTAAAACAATATACGATATTAATTTGATTATGTCTAGAAGATTATGTCTATATAAAAATAATTAATTGCAAAAATAACTTGATCATATTAATATACACTATATACTATAAATGACATTATCATATAATTAGTATAAATGAATAAATGTGAGCTGGATCATTTTAATTGCATTATAGATGGTAACCGGTTTCACAAATTGCTATTTTATCCATTTCTAAACTAATGCTTTCTCTTTCACTTTCATGACAATTGAATTTGATATCCGTCTGCAGACACACACACACACACACACACACACACACACWCACACACACACTAACCCACACCGCAATATACACTAATAGTTAAGACATTAGTGTCAGCTTAAAGCAAATCAGTTTAAGCAAAAACATTAGTATAAAACATAAGACAACTATTTTAGTACTGACCCTATCTTTAGTTGAAATCAATTGTTTGACGACAACGGTGTCGGCAATCAACAGAACTCGTGTGACGGACGATAGCAGAGCCCGGGCGGCCCTAACCATACATGACTTATCGGAATATGAGCGCATCTGACCGGCGGCCGACGGGTCGATCTCATGTGTGGCCGATTCGCATAACTGCTCAATGAGAGTGCCGGCCGCTCGGGCGTCCTTACAAGCGTCGCACATCTCGGCTCGAATCTCCGGGTTGTCATCGGCAATGGCTTCGCCGACGGCAACAAACCGCTCAACCGATAGGTTGACCGATTGGCCGACGCGTACGATAGCTTTGAGCTGTTTCTCCGTTTTAATTGGTTTTTCCCGAGCATTGACTAAAGTAGTGATCTGTAAATAAATATAACATTTWTATATTAATACATTAAACTTCACATATTAAATAGCATTTTAAAACTATTTATATATTAGAAATTATTTTATTAACATAATTCAAAGTTTTATCGATTATTTTTATTTTCCGTAAACTACTATATTAACATATAAATAAATTATTAAATGCTTTATTTTTATTAAATATATATAAAAGCAATTTCTTAAATCAAAGAGATTTACTCTTTTATCTTATTTGTTTTGTGGAGAAAGAAAGAGAGAGAGAMAGAGAGAGAGAGAGAGAGAGAGAGAGAGAGAGAGAGAGAGAGAGAGAGAGATTAATCATTAAATAAATAGTTTAAATAGAGATTTCGAAATGTAATTTGGGTACAAAATTTTTCTAAAATATTTGTATTTACAGTATAATAGTATATATATATATAGTTATAATAATAATGATAATAATAAAACATTAATCTTCGAGTCTTTAAAAAGTTGAATTCGTTCAATCATATATAGCATTTATACTTTATATATAATTTATATACGATATGTATATACTGTACAACTATTATATTACTATTTTTAAAAACTAAACATTTGCTTTATAATATATTTCTATTTAATAATACATAATACTCTAGATATATAAAACATCACTTCACAAGAATAAGCATTAAATAGGATTTAAAATCGATTCATAAATTAAATTGCATTTCAAATGAAATTCCCGATTTCTTTTGTGTCCAAACTTTTATATCATTATTGTCTTCTAATTTTTTTTATAGATAATACAAAAAAAGTATTATATAATAAAAAAAATTTCAATGCAATGTTATATCTATCATATGATAGTATATAAAAAAATATATGAACTATATGTATGAAATGTTATTAGATAAAACTATAGTGAAAAAACTGTTTTCGTAGAGCTAACAAAATAACAACTTTTTAGATATAACCCATAAATTTTTCCGGTAAATTATATTTATCTATATTTTATCATATAATGGTCTAAAAAAACTTATATGTGTTTCTAGTTTCACACGTTTATTGCATTAAAGTTAATTTTTATGTGTGTGCATTTTTATTTATTTCTTCAAATATATAATATTTTTAAACTATATAATACAGTATATAATAAATATCGATATATAGAGAATATTCTAAATTTTACAATTATATTAAAGTGCCTTAAATTTTTGTGACCAAATATATATATAGTATACCGTATATATATATATTAATACGGTATATACAAATATATTTAATACTATAGTTTAGATATACAGTATATATTATATATAAATACTTTCATACATTTATATCTGAATGAATGTGAGTATCTGAATATATTATTATAAATATGTTATATATTGTGTACATAACATAATCACTTTTTTTGTTTTAACACATTATGCCGTCCATTGTTTGAACAATCAATATTTTTACATATCTTAAATGAAAAAAGTCATATATTGTACAAATATATATATAATAATTTTTTTTATGTTTTAGATTATTTTTTATTTTATGAAATAAAGTATTTATAAAGCTGTAATATAATAGTACTAATGTTAGGAAATGCTATTTAAGTAAATTACTTTTCAAAAAGTTGTAAAACATATAACAAAATGATTAATATACAAACATTTTTTCTTTTGTAGATTATTAACATTTTGTTTTTTCTCATTAATTTGTTACTTTGATAATATTGCATTATATAAAATATTACCTAAACACAAAAATAAATATATTCTAAAATATATAAATATATAATCTAAAAAATTGTAATTTTATAATTAATAATATTTATTTGTTGCATTTAAACCGCTTAAAGTATAATGCATAAAACACGCATACACACACACAGAGAGAGAGAGAGAGAGAGAGAGAGAGAGAGAGAGAGAGAGAGAGAGAGAGAGAGAGTTATACGTAATATGTATTACATATAAATTGCACATAAATATACATGTTTGTATGTTTGACATTTATAAAATTATATATAATCTGGGTCAAGTGAAATTTAAATCAAATTTTTCAAATATTTTATAAGCCGATATAATTCATTAATAGATATGATATATTGTCTAAGGATTTGTTGTTATTTTGCTTTAAAATTTGAAAAGTTATATAATGATACCAATAAAAAATAAAAACATCTTAAAAATATTATTAGTATTTTTTATTTGTTTATACCGTATGTATGTCTTTCTTGGCATTAATAAAATATTTATTATTAACATAAATTTTATATATGAGATTATGAGAAAATATTTAATATTTTATTCATTCATATATTTATTGTTAGTAATAAATGAATACTAAATTTTGGTGACAAACAATTTCATTAATTTTAAGTATATTTTCTTGTGTTTTACTTTTTGTTATAACTATAAAATATTTTAACAATATACATTTTGTTTTTTACTACATCTATATATATATATATATATATAAAATTATATATATATATATATAGGTATCATTTTTATAACTATACTTGTAAAAAATATATTTATATATCACATTATAGCATAGATATATAATAATAAATGACAACTTGATTTTAATCTATTATTTATATTATATAATAATAGTCTGTATTGCACAATATATATATTGATACGGTATATATACAGTCAAAGACAAGTCTAAGTTAACCACTTTTGAATTAAATATCTCTTAAACAAATTATCGCATTATCATAAATATTTTTCTAGTAATATCAATAATATTCATTGGTAAATCAATCAGATTGATTAAATTATAAATTAAAAATAAAATTGTATTAAATAAAATACTAAAATTGCTATATGTCTAGTGAAAAAAATATTATTTTTAAAATAAATATTTTGACTGTGATTTTATGAAAAATAAAGAATATAAATAATAATATTATAATTATTTATTTTTTGTAGTTATATGAATTTAAATCTTGTTATTAAATTTATAAAAATTTAAGACATTCAGTCTGAAAACAGAAATACAAATAGACTTCAGTAATAAACTACTGAAACTTTTTTTATTTAAAAAACACATTTGTATTATCATTGAAACATTTAAACTTTTCTTTGATTTAAAATAGTCTAACTTTTATTTCTATACGTTTTTATTATCAGACATTATCTTTATTTTTATTTTAATTATTAGTTATATATATATAATTTTATCAATTGTATCACTAATCATAAAATTCAATATTTGGTTAAAATGATATTTAATCTTAAGGTAAAGTTAGTATTGTTTCTGTCTGTATATTATAGTCAAAGATTAATCTTGAAAAATATTAGTTTATTTTAGGCAAACACTTGGAAAGAGAGAGACAAAGATAGAGATAAGTTATGAAAGAGTGAGTTGAATAAAGTGAGAGAAAGAGTCGACAAAAAGTAGGCCATATCTCTTGAGAGGACATCATCTGACACTGTCATCAAATTTGTTGTTCAATGAGTTAAGCCATGATTATCATTGCTATCAGACACAGACATATTTTTATTAAAGATAACATTCCCCGCAATTCTATTATTTATATATATATATAGACTGTTCTCTATTTTTCTTATATATTTTTACATATATTATATTAAAAATTATGATATTCTTAGAATATTTTAAAATAATAATATTTAATACATTTAGATGAGTGCTATTTATCAATAATTAAAGTCTAAATAATATAAGAATAAACATTGAAATATTCAATGATAATTATAATAATGTATATACAGTATAGTATAGTATATAAAATAATATATATAATAGATATTATTGTATACTGTGGTTATAAATATATTTATAATCTCAATTCATATATTATTTATAACATTTCAAAATTCATACATGAATTGCACATCAAATAAAATGAAAACAATTTTTTGAGAGGCTTTCAAAATCAGATATTAATTTGTTTGTGTATGCAATGGGTTTGTCTCCTAAAACCATATATTAATATCTAATAATAATAATTCATAAATATATTTATCTCTATATCTATGCATTAACTCTGCATTTATAACAGGGCGGCGTATCATTTGAATAATATTTTTGATAATAACCTCTAAATGCAAAAATAAATAGTTATTAATAATTAATAGGAGTTAGCTATTGGCAAAAAATTAGTTTAGAAAAAATGAAAATTCATCATTAATACCAATTAAATTTAATGTAATATTTTTAATATTATCAATAAATATAAATGAAATACTAAATAGTATAAATTAATGAATTTATATTATATTTTTTATCATAAAGATTTTAATTTAAGTTAATTATTTGCTTAATAGTGAACTTAGAAAGCATTTGCAACACTACTGTTAAATATAATTATTGGTTTTCAATTTAACTAAAAATCAATAATTTATATTTTCATATCACATTAGCTAATATTGTATTACTATGTTATTAGCAAAATGTAATAACAAAAAAATAGAAATTATTGAAAATTATTAAAGTTATTACACAAACATTATGCCAACAATTATTACATTAATATTCATGTATATGTAGTATATTAATGTTATATAATTTATTTATAGAGGAAACGTAGTGCACATTATTTCTATCATTTGTATAGTTCATCGATTTATAATTACACCAATATTTTAATTTGTAATAAATGCTTTAAAATATTATGTATTTGTCAATTATTGATAATGATAATTCTTATAAAATTTATGTACAATATAATTATGTATTTAAATTAAAATAGACTATCAGTAATGTTTTTTAAATATTATTAAAATAATAATGTAATTCTTAAATATATAATTTAACTTTATTAAACTTAGTAAATATACTAAATTATAGTTTATAATAACAAAAAAATAAGTTATCTTTTATTATTTATTTAGATATCAGTACATATTTTTTCTATAATAAACAATGTCAATAAAAATATGAAAATTACTTATTTTGTTCATAAAATTTTATATATGTAATCATAAGTATATCTTAGTTTACTGTATTGTATATCGATTGCTACTTTTATATATAGTTTATTAGTCAATGCAGTATATACT